TCTATAACCCTAACAAACATTTCTTCTATCTGCATTTTCAGGTGAAAAAACGGCGGGCGTAAAATCACACAAACTGTATGCATTTCTAACTATTTATATAATAAATTGTATATTTTTGAATCCCATCAGTGTCTCTTTTTGTGTAGCCGCACTGTAATAAAAACCAATAACGGTGAAAACAGACGACATTTATCAGTTGTATAATAGCGCTCGGACACAACACTTTGTAAAATAAGAAGCCCATGGAATAAATCTAATTTCAACGTACAGCTTGGCTCCTCATATAACCCATTAAATATGTTGTTACCCTACCGATAGCTGCTACCTTGACATGGTGATTGGGCTTGCATAACGCAATGACCCAACAAGCTACACTGGCTGGAAATATTGTTCCTGCAGGTCCTACCATGCCAGGAAGGTTGTTAGGATAGCGATTAGACGAAAAGCAGTTAATGGTTTAGTGTAAGAATTTTTTACACTATGCTGGGGGTCTGTGGGCGAAGTCGTACTACTGGGGAACAGGGATGTAACAGCAGTGAGGTATTTCCCTCAGATGACAAGCATGCCAGCCAGCTATTCTATCTCTCCACTCTGAAGAGAGGGGGTTAGAAAAGGTCCACCCCAACAATTGTACATCCCAACTTACCCTACAGTGGTCCGTAACCAGCGGTAAGTTTATTAATACGGAACCAAACCAAGAAACCAGTTCAGACAGGCCGTGTTTGACCGGCCTCAAGCAGTTGTCCCCTGGGATCTGCCGTCACGCAATACGGACCCTCTTTCTGTGTCATGTACCCGAAGAATCAACCAACTTCCACGGTGTGGGCAGCCGGGAAGTAACAACCGCCCACACACTCCCAAAAGCACATTAAGCTTCCCCGAGCATCATTCTCCTTCACGCACATCACCTTCATTATCTTACTCCCCTGCTTCAGGCTAGTGAGTCATCTTCACTTCACTCTGTGACCACAAATAACGATGAGAGCCATAGAAACATTCCCGACAGCCTCTTAAAGCCACGTCGCCAACTTCACATAGGAGCTTTCAATGTCAGGACTCTGCCAAGTCGGACAACAGGCATCACTAGCAAGAACTCTGGCATCTCGAGCCATGGATGTATGCTGTGTTTTGGGGACACGCATACAAGACCCGAGTGTGGTCATTCACTTGACCTCACCCGGCCAACAAGGTGAATCTGCAAAATTCACTTTAAGGGTGTCAGGAGACCCCTCAGCTAGCTCGCGAGGACTCGCAGATGTAGGGATAACATTGAGTGTTGGGGAAGAAAACTCACTTCTTGACTGGATCCCAGTAGATAGTCGTATGTGTGCGGTCCGTCTGAGCGGGTCCGTTAGAAGAAGGAAGGACGGCGTTACCCGTACTCTTTTCGTAGTCTCCGCTTACGCCCAACAGACTGCAGTTCGGATGAACTAAAGGATGACTTCTGCTTGAAACTGACTAATTTGCTGAAAAAGCAAAACGTTCAGATATAGTTGTTTTAGGTGGCGACTTCAATGCCCAAGTAGGGAAGTTGTGCCAGACTGAGATGTAGGTGGCACGTATGGAGTTCCCTGCCGACGAACCGACAACGGTGATCGTCTTCTACAGCTTCGCTCAGATAATCATCTGTTCCTAGTCAGCACTAACTTTAAGCACGAAGAGACACTGCGTAATCTGGCGACCTCCATCACCAAATCAACCCTGAACTGAGATAGACCACATAGCGAGGGTCAGTAGAAGACTGCCGCTCCTCTTGGAACACGTGCGTAGACTCCGATCACGCTCTGGTCTACGCACGTTTATGCTTACGATTAAATGGACATAAGAAATTGACGACAGTGAAACAGTTACGTCCCCAACTAGATCGAGACACTGAGTCCCTATTTAAGGAGGAAATAGCGAAACGTGTATCTCAGATCGACAGCAACACTTCCCCTGAGGTAGCCTGGCACAACATACAGTTAGCTGTAGACACCTCTGTAAAAGCTGTTAATAACCTTAAACCAAAAGTTAGTAAGAGCCATTGGATCTCTACCGCCTCATCCGAACTGATTGATGCAAGAAGACTGATTCCGGCCAGCTCCGATTATGATGAGGAGCGAAAGCTAATCAAACGCAAACTAACAAGAAGCCTTCGTAACAACCGTGAACAGTGGTGAGCGACAAAAGCAAAGGAGATGGAAAGGGCATCGGTGATTGGTAACACCAGACAACTATTTAGGCTTATCAGGGAAACAGGTGGTAAAAGGTAAACGTTAAGTGAAACAATCTCTGAGAAAAATGGCATCATAATTAGCTCCCAGGATAGACGACTAGGACGTTGGAAAGAGCACTTTGAGAGACAGTCTAACTGGTCTACAGGCACTCTCAGCTTACCGAACATCTTAAACCTCCCTGAATGGGATATAGACACAGGTCCTCCGTCCCTAACTGAGGTTACTAAGACTGTCACTAGTCTGAAACGAGGTAAAGCTGCAGGACCTGATGGAATGACTCCAGAGGTATTTAAGTACGGTGGAAACAGTTTACTGTCTGCGTTAACTGAGGTACTAGGTAGCGTCTGGGAATCAGAGGAAGGGTTGGTGTAAGTCTCTGATTATCCCGATAAACAAGAGGGGAGACAAGTCTCCCTGTGATAATCACAGAGGGATTAGCTTGACTAGTATGGTATCTGAAGTTCGAGGCTCAATAATCATGCGTAGACTGAGCAGTCCACGCGAGTAAGAAACACGAGAGAACCAGGCAGGCTTTAGACTAGGAAGAGGGTGTATTGATCATATATTCACCCTTCGACAGATTCTAAGACATAGGCATTCCTACCGGTGTCCAACAATCATTATATTTCTAGACCTAAAGGCGGCATTAGATTCTGTCTACCGAGAAGTACTCTGGCGATGCTTGGCTGTGAAGGGAATGCCGAGAAAATACATAGCACTGATCAAGGCACTCTACTCGAACTCATGAAGCCAGCCAGTTGAGAGCTTACGGCGAGTTGTCATATGAAGTGGTGTCCGTCAGGGATACCCATTATCCCCGTTTCTATTCAATTTCATCATAGATGTACTAATGGAATCAACCCTAACCAACTTCAGAAACTCAGGGATTGACTTGTTACCACCAGGGGATATTCTCGCTGACTTAGAATATGCATGCGGATGATATAGTCCTTGTAGGTGCAGACGCTGACAAAATGCAGTCTTCTGAACACCTTGAACTGCAATCTGCGAATGTTTGGCATGCGATTCGCTCCTGCTAAATGTAAGATTATGCTACAGGACTGGACTATATTGATTCCTAGCTTAAAGATAGGGAGTGAAGTGGTTGGTGAAGCGTGTTGACCACTTCACTTATTTGGTAAGTTGCATCAGCCAACGGGTTGATCGCTGACGAAATCTCAGCAGGGATACAGAGGGCTAGTTTCGCATATGCTAGTTTACTCCGTCTCTGGCGTAGACATGATATCCGTCTGGCTATTGACTAAAGGATGTGTGTACTGCTCAGCAGTCGCACCGTCCTCCTTCATGCCTGTAAGTGAAACCTGGCCACTGAGAGTGGAAGACAAGAAAAATACTAGCTAGCTGTCTTTGATCATAGATGTTTGCGTTCTATCTTCCTTGTGAAGTGGTATAGTAGGGTAAGCACTACTGAGGTCAGGCGTCGAGTGCTAGGGAAGGAGGGTAAATTAATCGACGAGGCTGTGAAGCTACATCGACTGAGATAGTTAGGACATGTGTTATGTGTGCCTAGCCATCACCTTCCTCGACCGATGGGAGATGTGTGCTACATGGAGTGTGGCGACTTGAACTGTTGCAAGATTCTATGTTGAAAACACAGACAGACAGGAATCACATTTTATGGTCTCTCAAAATAACACCGAGTGGGTTTTTTGACGCATAAATCCATTTAGTTTAAAAATTCTTATCAATGTACGTCGTAGTGATAAAAAGCTGTTTATGATGAATCCTTTATGGTACTTGCACGGCCCATCGGTAGTATTGCTGCTAGCTTTGTTTGAAATACTCACAATGAATCATATTGAAAATTTCTTGATACGGCTAAACAGTTTGTAATACTAATGTATAAACAACTAACCAACTAATAGGTCATCCAGTTTTAGTTTTTTCGCTGAAGCTTCAAGAGAATGTAGACAGTGAATTTTGAACTAGGATTTTAATTATAAACGCGACTTTGTGCTTATTATGATCTCTCTACTGGCACACTCGATTCACTAATAAAATGAGAAACAACTCGTATATGGTTAGGACCTCGATAAATACAACGGATGATATGTACGTGTCTGCAGACTTTATAGAGAAAAGCTGGTTTGACTCAATGTAGTCAAGAAAACAACTTCGCATTTGCACGTAATATTAGCCTCCCGCAATCTAGTCATTATACAGACGAAACTCCTAGTAATACATAACCCTAAAGAAAATGTCCCTCTGCTCATGCATATATATATATATATATGCGAAAATAATCTAGTTTTGAAGAATTCTAACTGGCGAGTTTATTAAAATAGGGCCTAGTGTTACTAAAAAGCAATCCGGATTCTGACTTAGCGTACCTGCGCATTGAATATATGAATCAGGCTAAGTTTTGGGACAATGCGATTGATTCTAAGTCCAATACTGATTACCACACAACACATGGCTCAAACTGATATCTATCGGTGTAGGGAGTTGTTGGGTAAACATACATAATACGTCCCGTTTAGCTAACGCGCCAAACATATAAAACCTCATAGACTGATTTAATTCTTAACACCTAGATTGCTCATAATTACTCTGTTGACATGTCCTGAAGAAGACCTCACAAATAGATTCCAGCCAAAAGCGCATATACAATATGAAAGTAGACCAACAGTGTACACCCAATGTCATTGGGTGCTACTGGACATACATGTAATAGCCGCCTATGATGCACATGTATTACTATCGTTGAAGACACTATACAATAACACAAACAGGAGTAGCTTGAGTGATAGTGTCGAAAATCACCTACTTAGAAGGCTGGGATTCAATTTCTTAAAAATGTTCAAGCCAGTATTCTAAAACAATCAATCAGGGAACTTCTACTACGATGTAAAACAAAAAGTGTTACCATTGTCGATTTTTAAGGATAATCCACATATTTGCTTCTAAAAAACTATACACATACACAACTCTGAATTCATTACGGACAAGTATAGTGCGAAAAAAGAGCTAGAGAACAAAGACACACACACTACAACTCAAAGGTGTAGGATTGATTTCAATAAAAACTGATCATTTAAATAATAATATTTAAACCAAAATACACACACATAAGGGTAAAATGAGAAATGCAATGGTATTGTTGGACTCATCACAATCTTTAGTCATCGCCAATAACGATATTAGTATAGGAGTAAGAAGTGATGAAAGTTTCTAATGCAATGTTTAAAGGATACACAAATATACATCTGAAGATCGTTCGTCATGTAGCCTATACATAAACATTGCATGCCAAAAAAAGACGAGAAGATAAATTATCATTAACATCCATCACAATTATACAATATTGACATAAAGAAGAAGCATTGTAGTCCAGAATAAGACGACTTCATTTGTTATTTATACTCAGTTTGATGGGATGGATGTGTAGCATGCATATTGTGTAGACGTTCACTTAAACTTGCGTCTACTTCATAGTCATATTGTCTTGAAGAGCCAGTTGCACGAGAATAATAATTAGACCGTTGAGAATCGTAATTCTTTTTAGGACTAGAATTAGTTTTGTACGAATTCCATGAATGATTATTGTGCTTGGTAAATTGAGTCTCATTTGGATAGACAGACTTATTATTATTATTCAGCAGCTGCTTTGATGGTTCAATTTCTTCATTATAAATATTATTTGAAAAGTGTTGAGAATTTCGCTTTCCATCCGAAGATGAAAAAGTAAACTGTCTGTTTTGTTGGTTACGTGATCTTTTTGAACTTGAAGTGAATTTCTCCTCACTACCAGAAGATGATGAAACATTTTTAGACATATTATAGTTTGTTACACCATGATGACCGGGTTGCTTTGGACTTTGAGAATTCCAATCTAACAGAAGAGAGATACATACACGTGAAGTCTTTTTCTTATTAATGCAAAACTTGAAAATTAATCTGATGCTCACTAGTGACTAACTACTACAGGACGAAGTTACCTGAAGTTCTGGTGAGAAGTCATGACCTGTGGGGTCCATCGGGTCGGATGTGAGGACAAATACTTGCCCATTACACTAGCTAGTGGTGGTGACAGGTTAGGATTCATGGGTGGCCATTGGATCCCGTCCCAGTAGTTGAATGGTCAAAAAGCTCGATATGTAGCTTAGGCGTCCGGTCCCGGGTGAGTTCATGAGCACATACAGATGAAGAGTCTCGAACTAGGACGAATCAGTTTCCCAGCATTCCCTGGTTTTTATTAGTTCTGTAACCGATATCAATCCGTGATCGGGCTTTCAAAAAAAAATCAACTCTTGAAAATAGAATACGCGCATTTTTGCGTTATCGCCTACCTATCATAGAATATGTAGTGGTGCACTTTAAAAAGTTAACTAGCCAATAAATTGGAGCAGTGTAAGAGTCTTCAGACATCTATAAAAATTTTCAATAATAGAATACTGATTTCTTTTACAGTTGCACGTATACATATCAAATAAAATTTACAGACCAATTGTGTCAATCACTCTAAGGGAGTCAAATACTTTATGATATATGATTTTATTTTATTTGGGTTGGCATGATTGATCATGGGCGTTATATCTAAATGTTTGAATGTAATAATAGTTCCACAGCAAGTAACGAATACATCAGTGACTACATGTGAGTAATTAAATGATATATATTTACACAATTTGACTCAAGCTTCATCGTATTCTGCAGACAGCTTTTAATGATCAAGTGAGCGCATATTTTCACTAGGTCGGCTGGTAAAAATATGGACGTATAGACTATTAAGCGATCACACTTACAACAACGTATACCAGTATTATCAGGTTCCAAGGTGACCGCTTCTTTTCCATCTATACTAAAAATCTACAGTAAGAGACACAAGGAACAGATGACTTGATTTATGCATACAATGGGGTACTATTTAGTTAATTTCTAGAAAGGCAACATTCAGAATTTACTCAACAACCATTTGCCATTGCACACAGTTGGCAATGAGGAGTCACATTTATTGTATGAGGGAGCTAGTGATTGATAATACCTGGCTATCCACAACCTAGGTAGATGGAGTGGAGAGGTCGGAACCCATGACCCACTTACTTGGTAGGTCGCGAGCGTCTACACCGCAATAAGTCACAGCTTCAAAGAAACATTTAAAGTCTAATCTAATTTCAATCATCAACTATGATGATGACGATACTTTAATGATGAACAGGTCTACGCACTCACCATGATTATTAGGTGTATGTGACGTATTCTCAGTCTGATGAGGAGTAGTGGCAACATTCACCTGTTTAGGCTTATATGGTGATCGTTTAGAATTAGCATTAGCATTATTAACTGGTGCTTTAATTGCATTGTCTGTAGAAGCAAGTAGTATATGTGGTTGGCAAACAATTGGATTTGATATCCAATTTGCATTATTTGTATTACTAATCTGTTGCTGCTCGTGTGATAAGTAATTCATATGATGATTTCCTTGTGCAGTGTAACTATTGTATGGTGGTACATGAGTAAGCGGTGGAGGATACTGATGAGAAGGATGCTGGTATGGCCGCTGTTGTTGTTGTGGTGGTGGTGGTTGTTGATAGTGCCTATTATGTTGTATAGGATAAACCATTTTGCCATTGCCTAAAAGACCAGGTGTAAAATTTACTGGAGGTTGTGGAGCATATAATGCATTCATTGAATTATAATTCACTGGATTCGAAGATTGTCCATAGGTGGTGGTATACGCAGGACGTTGTTCACGATGCTGATAATTATTATTATGCACTGAAGGACTTGAATAATTGTTTTGTGGTTTATACACATTCCCATAATTATTAGATGATGTGAAAACTGGCCTACCTTGTCTTATAGTATTAGCAGATAACATACCAGGTGAAGAAGGAATATTTGAATTAACATGACGAGGTGGTCGATGAGGAGGATTATGACGACTGTCACCTGAATCACTCATCAGTGGTTTTTCTGAAGACTCAGAAGTTGATGTGGATTTTCTATCCAAAAAATGACCAATTAATGAATCAACTATTGACATTTCATCTTTATTTTCTACATTTGTTGCTTTTTTATTTTTTTGACACTGTGATGCCCAATGACCAAGCTGATGACAGACAAAACAACGTGTATCTTTTGGTGCAGCTCTGTCGACAACGATATGCTCCGGTGAGAATAAAGAGCTAGACAATTATTCGGGAGAAAAAAAAAACACAAACACAAAACACAATGAGAATGATAACAATATGTATAATTACATTAGAATACTAAACTCTATGCTATAAATGTTTATTCTTCTTTCTTCCCTGTTATCATTCAAGTGGTTATCTTTTTTTAAAATGATATTTTATAACTCCATTATAGATAAGATTTTATTTTGATAAATCACACAGTGTGTTATACAGTAATATTAACTGATGACCACGTTTCGAGCACAATTTATTGCCACTCATAATCACATCAAGTCATTCACTCAACTTTTGGCTTCATTTATATACACGAGAGAAATTGATTGGGCATTTGAATAAAAATCAATATAAGATAAAGTTCATCCAGAAATAATATTAGTGTTATCAATGAAATACAGTCAGATGGGAAATAAGACGAGTGTTTTTATAGTCAAAATAAGTAACTTGTTAGAATGCTATGCTGTATGTGAATTGAGATAGAATTTTAAGATTATTTATTATCCTCCTCTGATTTGACTGACTGGTGGTAATAATATCTTCCATATCCCTGGTATTTGCATTGAGTCATTTCTGTTGCATATGTTGGGTGTAGACTCAATGAACCAGGATTCAGTAATCAATCTCTCTCTCCACCTACATATGTTACTTCTTAGGAATTTAACCCTCTCCCACCCTACTGTGTGATTGTGTGTTAATGCATGCAGTGCAATTACTGAGCTTTTTTCTAAATTACTTATTTTCTCGGGGTCAACCGTTCTTACCTTAGCTAAATTCTTATGTTCCAACACTCTGACTACCCCCGACCTTATTTCCCATATGATTGTATTTGATCAATAACACTCGTATTATTATCTCTGAATGTACATTATCTCATATTGATTTTTATTCAAATGTCCAATCAATTCCACTCATGCATATAAATGAAGTAAAAAAGTTGTTTGAGTGACTTGATATGATTATGAGTGGCAATAGTTTGTGCTCGAAACGTGGTCATCAGTTAATATTACTGTGTAACACTGTGTGATTTTATCAAAATAAAATCTTATCTATAATGGAGTTATACTCTACCACAGTGCCCAAGTTTTATACTTATATCAATGATATTTTATATCTGGTAAAAGCATTGGAACAACAGTATATATATACATATATATATATTCCCTTTTGTGAATTTGCATACAGCGAAAACAACAGTCTTCGTCGGCCTCTCATCAACTGCGTACAGCCTAAAATCACTAATTAAGTATATGTAAAGAGACACTTTTAACGTATTTGCAAACAAGAGGTGAGTGCAACTCAAGTTACAGAAACAAATAAACAAGCCGAATTACGCAATAGGTAAAGGGGGAAGACGTTGAAGCCAAAGATTAAGTAATGAAATAAAGGGGGAGAGTAAAGATATCGAGATACCAGGGCAAGGAAGGACTGGTAGCTGTCTCTTTCTGACTACATAAGTCGAGTTACGAGCATTTGATATCAATCGCTTCAGCAAAACTTATCCTGTATCAACGAAATGCGTGACAATAGCACTTTTGAAGGGATTTGTTCCCCTGAAATGTAGGCTTTTTGGTACATGTTGACAAAATCGACGGAGTCCCCTTCTTTCTCCCCCACCTTATGTGACTGCTACCACAGAGATACACATAAGTTTGTATACACGATTATAGCTGACATAAGAAGGGTATCTGTTGCATTAAAAATCATATTGTTCAACATACGGGAACCAAACTGGCTGCAGGATAGGTTCTGGCTAGAAATTACATTTACACAAATTAAAGTCAAATGGCTCACGTTATATAAGTGCAATCTTGGAGAACTGTCTATTGATTTGTAAGTCTCCCATCGTTAGCTGACATCATGTTACCATTGCAAGTACATATAAGTATTACACTTTGTAAGTTGTACACAGATGATGACAAACTGATGATACCGTTTTGACTTTGGTTTATTAACATTACAGGCGAATTTTTTTTAGAAAGTTTTGATTTTATTTTCAATAGACAATTACAATTTTTTTTAGTGAGCATACATGAACTATTCACCTTTCAAGGATGATGATGATAATAATAATAATAACAAGGAAATGACACACTATACTACGATCTTAGCACTAACTATTTACCCCTATCAAGAACAAGATCAAGTCAATAGTAGTGCAATAATAAGTAAGAGTATATATTTCACTCTACCAAAATACTTAAATTTTTCTCATATACATATTTTTTTAAAAAGGCGAACATTTTAACAACGAATACAAAGTATTCTCAAGAAATTTTCTCTTTGCAGACACAGTAGAAAATCTTTATTTCTCTTAAACGAGATAACACACCATAAGGCGAAACTGAATATTTTTCTTTCGATAATTCTATTCAGCATAGTGCACCAGAGATTCATTCTACCCGCCTAACGACTACTGTATTGCGTAATCATTATTTGAGATTTACTTCTAAGTAGTTAACTAGTGTCAAGCATTTAGTCCTTTTTTCAGCACAGGCTGAATGCTGTCAGTTAAGTTTGCAATATGGTCACTATGCTAGTTGGTTCGCCATAATGGTACACTGTGAATTATTGTTATTAAGTGGTTGGAAGTAGTCGACAGGAAGCCTTGGACCTATGTTTTGTGCTTGTTGGTACTCGTTAGCACAACGTATCTGCAATTTTGGAGGAATTCATGTTCCTTCTGAGATTCGAATCCGTAACACCCAGTGCGCAGTCAGAGACTGATTTCAATACGCCAGGTGTTATAACTGAGTTATCCGGATATGTGCCATGATTTGATGTGTCAGGGCCAATGCTACTACCAAATTTCCCAGGCTGGTGAGTGAGATTCAAATCCAAGACGTATTGATCAAAAGTCTAACGCTTAGTACGTCTTCAAAAGCATTAACACTATCATTTCTATTACCGTATGTCTACACTCATCAAAATATGCTTGAACCTGACAACTGCATCAGTATATTATATAATTATTTATTCTTATCATTATTGCCTTGGGTTCCAAGTGCAACATAGGGTTCCTTTAAGTCATCCCCACTTCACTCTTTTCTCTGCAACCCTCTGTAGATAGCACCACTATCGTGCATAAGCTTCCATTTCCTCCTCACACTACTCCTCCATGTCGTCCTCAAACCCACATCCATTCGAGTTCCACTCTATGAACCGCCCAGCGTGTGACACCACTCACTCGTCTCCTCAGCGTATGTCCACTCCACCTCCATATTTGTTGGGTGATGACTTCTCAGTTGATTCGTTCCTAGACTTTCTTGTTGTTTATCCTCTCTGACCCACCATCTTGTCTACAGTATGGAACGAAGGCAGTTGTCGATGAAAGTCTGCAACAGGTCGTTGAAATGTTATTCATGACGCTTGTGCCAAGTCTCTGAACCAAGTTAGAAGCGGGGACTTGACATTCGTTTTGGAAATCCGGATCTTGTTCTTTGTGGTGTGTGTAGCAGACTTTCACACTCATTTCAGAATAACGATGCTGCCTTTGGATTGTAACATGATTGTGATATTGAAGAAAATACTCCGCAAAAATAAACATTAAAGGGGAGATAAAGTTAAACATAAAAACTACCCTGCCAGTAAATTAAAGTATCTCCGAATAGAGTAGCAGCTGGGTAGGAATGATAATACTTCAAATCATAACTAATTCAACATTTTAAAGAGCTTTCAAGACGTTTAAATATATAATATCAAAATTAGCAACAAAGTTTAACCTGATATAAAACAAGACTCACTAGCACCATTGTCCCATAGACATTTGTTTTCGTAAGAAGGTTGTATGATGAACGAGAACGGTGTGAAACACATTCAGTAGATAAAGAAGCACTACAGAAGTGGGGGAAAAAACAAACAAACAAACAAACAATAGTCACTCCCTTATACAATGTTAAAAGTATCATACGATATGGGAAAATGTCCACCAACTGCGCGTGAGGTCCAGTCTAAATTCCTGACCGACTTATTCCTAAACTTTGCCTAGTTTACTAACCGGTAGAAAGGCCAGGAAAGGGGAAGGCAATGTTGGCCCAAAACAGCACCTTGTAGGACCAACATCACCGCTAGTGAAGCTTTATGTTCCACTAGGAGGAACGCAAAGGAATGAAAATAAATCATATGATAATCATTATCATCCCGATACTAGAGGTTTAACTTGACACGTGTCATAGCGTTTTACTTAGCTTTTTGTTTCTAGGTGCTTATTATCCTGATATGCGAGACGTGTAAACTAGTTATGTGGTGAGAGATGGCTGCTAGCCAAATTGGTAGACAGTAATTGACGTCAATGTTTATGTCTCAAATATTAGTGATGTGAAAACAGGATCAAAAATGGACAGCAGACTTTGCGTAGGCGGATACAGTTAGCAGATAGATGATTTGACACTCAAGAGACAGCAACAAAGAGATGAAAGATTGACTTTTAGTGAGAAACAACCAATCAGAAAACTGTGTTTGTCAGCTAACAATAATCTATAATAATGTACACGAAAATCTATAAATATGTGTTGATTTCATTAATAAACGATCTGTTGCCTGAGTCTTGCCTTCTGTCGTTGGAGTTATAGTGAAATATGTGGTATTTTCCTCACTGTGCAAACAAAAAGTTATATGCTTACACTTTGATTTGACACAAGTTAGTAACTAGTGTCATGGGTTTAATCCTTTGCTTGGTGCAGACTGAATTCTTTCAGTCAAATTTCTAGTGTGTCTACAATTCTAGGTGACTCGCCATCAAGGTTTCAGATACACCTTGCTGACGAGTGCCAACTAGCACGAAACCTAGGTCCAAGGCTTCCTGACGATTACCTCCAACCACTAGTTTGATCCCATCAGACACTCTTTACCTATGTTAACTATACATGAAATGGTTTGACTAAGGCCATCTCCTCTCCTCAATACTGTCTGACAAGCAGGTAGGTAGATGTTATAAGAATCAGAATACTTCACATGTATGGTCAATGGTTCTCCATGCTAATCTGACCGAAGCTCAGAGACTTCGAATAATCGTATGAGAAGACTTTTTACACTCTATTTAATGCCATAGATTTGTAATAAACTATGGTACTACGCATACTTTAGATACACAAATAAAATAATCATGAACAAGAATAACAAAGTATATATGATAAATTTCCAGGGAAGAAGACAAAGAAAAACAATTGACAAAACTTACTTGAATGACTCAAACCGGATGTAAGGTTATGGTTCAGATTGAAAGGATCTGAAAAAAATTAAGATAGATACTTAGTGTATTATCACAAACAATTATACTATCTATAATATATCCCTAAAAATGCAGGCAGAATACAACAGACTCATACTGAATAACAAAAAAGCCCAATGATATTAACTCGGCGAAAGTTTAACTCGACTACACTCTAGCTACTACAAAACAAGAGAAATGTGACAGACAAAAATAAAAAAATAATCTTAACAAACAATAAATATGACAGGAGTAAAATCGAACACTTCACAGACGGCACACATGAGGATTTCGACGTCAGGATTGAAAGGGAAGACAGACATCTTCGTGACTTTGGAAACAGTTTAGAAATCTACTCCACTTGGCATAAAGAACAAGATCCGAATTTCCAAAAACGAATGTCAAGTCCCCGCTTCTATGTGGTTCAGAGACTTGGCACAAGCGTCATGAATAACATTTCAACAACCTGTTGCAGACTTACATCGACAACTGCCTACACTCGATACTGAAAAGTAGATGGTCAGTCAGAAAGGATAAGCAACAAGGAAGTCTAGGAACGGACCAACTAAGAAGCCACCTCCCAACATATATGGAGAAGGGAATGGAGATGGATTGAACATATGCTGATTAGATTGTTGAATGACATCACACGCCAAGCAAAGATTTGAGTGGAATTCGAATGGATGTGGGTTTGAGGATAACATAGAGGAAGTAGTGTGAGCAGTAAATGAAAACTTATGGGTGATAGTGATGCTATCTAAAGAGGGTTGCAAAGAAAAGAGTGAAGTGGGGATGACTCGGGGGATATCTGTGCTGTACTCGGAACCCAAGGGAATAGTAACAATAAATATAATGACAAAAATAAAGTCTAACAATTGTAAATGACTAATTAATGAAATTCATGTCCAGTATGTATTAGAGAAAATCACTTCATAAATAGTTACGGCATAATAATTGTTGTTGTGTACTAAACATGCCTCTTAACAATTACAACATCACTTGTTCTACACATGTAAAGCGAATACATTTATATCAGCTGTGATCTCAGAAACTAATACGTAGTTCAGTTACACATATCATCAATTGGATTCCGTTTCAATCATTGAATGGTCAACGTGTTCGACTTATAACCTAAAGGTCATGTATTCGACCGATAGCGGTGGTCATGGATGCATACTGATGAATCCAAAACTAGGACGAAACATCTGCCCAGTACTCCCTGGTTTTTAATGGTTTACTAACTGAAGACAGTTCATAATCAGAACTGAAATCAGTCGAATCCATGCATACCAACAGTTGATAATATTGAAAAATGTTTTTGATTGGACACTAGTCAGTAACTAATGCAATGTGTCTAGTCCTATCTTCGGTGCAGACTGAATTCTATCAGTCAGGCTTGCTGATGAGTGCCAATTATCACGAAACCTAGGTCCAAGGCTTCCTGCCGATTGCCTTTAACCACACAATTGAAAAATTGTATTAACATAAATCTGTTCCATTGAAATTGTATAAATCGAACTATCTCTGTTCAAAATATACTTTTTAGAAAGGTAATATGTAATCAAAAATTTACTCCTCTTTATGAATTTGAATAAAGCAAGAACAGTTTGTGCAGGATAAAATGGTATCATCATCTCTTTCGTTGGCTTCTCATCAGCTACTTATAGCCTAAAAAACTATTAAATTTATGAGCAGAAACAATTTTCAAGTATTGGTTTTGTAGGGATTTTGTTTGATTGCATGGAGGATTTCATCATGAGCTGACATCAGTTAGAGAACCACTAGAAAACCTGGGAGTACTGGACAGCATGAAGAGTCCCAAACTAGGACGAAACAGCTGTCCAGTACTCCCAGAAACAATTTTCACATAATGTCAGTTGACAGAGAGTTCGAGTTTAAACAAAAAGTCAGTGTATGCATACAATGGTAAAGGAGATATGTAGTGAAGATAAGGGGTTAAAGCCAAAGATTATGCAATCAAATAAAGGAGAGAATAAAGACGTCCAGTTACCAGAGCTAAGAAAGACTGATAACTGCTTCTTTCTCATAATAATTGATAATTTTAAAGGATTATGAGATGCCCATCTCATGAGCAGTATCAATAGACAAAATAGCTCAATTCTCTGAAGTTTGCCGAAGCAATCTCTATCAAACGCCTGAAACCCAATTTATGGGTTCAGAAAGAAGCAGTTATCAGTCTTTCTATGCCCTGGTAACTGGATGTCTTTATTCTCTCTTTCATATGATTACGTAGTCTTTGGCTTCAACCTCTCTCCCCTATTACATAGTGTAGCTTTATTTAGCTGTTGTTTCCACGATTTGAGTTGAACTCAGTATATTGTTACTCAACTTACTGATTACTCATCATCTTACTCACCTCTTGTCTTTATTACATAACTCCTTTACCATTGTATACATTGTTTAAACTCGAACTCTCTGTCAACTGACATCACGTGAAAATTGTTTCTGTACATGAACTTAATAATAATTTCTTTAGGTTGTAAGCAGCTGATGAGAAGCCAACCAAATAAACAATGATGGTACCATATTATTCTGCACAAACCACACTGTTGTTCTTGCCTTATTCAAATATTCAATTAGTAGAAGAATCATCACAACACAGAAATATTTGGCTTTATCATGATTACTGCTATAGATTTTAGAATATGAAAAGCATATTGAATAATATGTAAAAACAGTTTAATGATTACTTTATTACCTTCAATAGCGAATAGCGATTTCCACATCTTGACAAAGCGTATCAGTAATTTCTTTTGTCTAATTGTTACAACATATGCATCATGATCAAATTCAAAAAGATAATAACGCAGAAATCCTAACCACAATTCACCAACTGGTTGATCTGGATTAGTTGGCTTCCATAAACGGTTCTAAAGTAAGGAAGAAAAAAAAGAAGAAGGAATGATCATCCGAACGTTATTTATGTATTTGTTGTTATTAAATGAGATTATGAACAATAAATATTATAATTAAAAAAGAAGCCTTAACACTGTACTACTGACTAGTCGAAAATATGCCTGCTACACATGTGTTGATGAATGCACATACGTGTATTAACAACTGACAACTTTCATGTTATACGCAATGTATCGATTCAAAAATGTTATTATATTATTCATCAGCAAGCATACTGTAACACGACAATATTGATCGAAATAAATTTGAAAATAGTTCAATAATATGATGCAGCTGTCAACGCGATAAGAAAAATAAGAATTACGTCGAGTACACTATTCCTTATGAAAGATAAACGACAATAGTAGGCATACATTGCAGTCTGACAGTTACTTTCATGGCAAAGTTGATCTGCTATGTTTCATGTACTCAGAAAAACAGACAACTGCTGATTACAGAGTTTAAATGCACCGCGTAATATACTACAGATATATTGACATGAGTAATTGGCTACAACCGTAACCCACCCACCTACACCAACCAATAGTGTTTGCCGGCAAGATCGAAGAGAGCCGAACAATCGACGATAGTTTTGCTCGTTTGGTATCAAAGTCATCAGTGGTGTGCTCGGTTTGACTCCTCTCAGAGAGCCGAATTCTAACCATTGAAAATCCAATTCGTTATTTGTAATTTAAACATTTCGAGGTCAAAATTCACCAGTATTTTCTCGACAATGGAAATTATTCAGATCACTTTGTATGCCTTGATATTGCTTGATATGATAAATGATTTGATTCATTTATATTTGCTTTCTTGATCACCGTCTATCGTACCAGGCAGATCACAAATTGTGATCGTAATAATTTCCGTTTCTAAAGGGAATTGTGGTGAATTAATCTGCAGATTACGAAATTGATTACAGAGTTATCTGAAATAACTCGCATATATACATCTCCAGATAAATAGTTAATTTAGTGCTTTTGTTATATTTGTGCTTTCCAAAACTAACAGGAGTCTGTAACGAAGTTTGTTGATGAATCTCCTCAACTAAAGATACTACCTTGAGGTTAGTAACTGGTGCCACACTTCACTTGCCTTCCCTCTTTATGCATAAATCAACTTGCTGTAATCCATTCAATAAATAAATGCCTTACGACTAAATTACTCCATTCAACAAACTTTCCGTAAACCGAAAATACCCACCCACCCACTGGGTCATGAAGAAAACTTTCAATACAATCAAGTGGTTTCAATAATCACCCTAGGCTAAGTAAATCGAGTCTTGATAGTAATCTGATATACAAGTAATCATTGGATTGAATAATAATAATAATAATAATAATAATAATAATAGCTATTTACTAGCGTTCAACATCATCTTTTAAAACAACACAGATAAACAAACTTACAATAACTGATAAATCATTCTGGTACCAAACATCCCAACCATTGACAATAGTAACAGGTTTCGATTGTCCTTCATAGAGCTGTATAACGCGGCAAACACAACATTAAGAACATAAATGATCTTGCTTAACAAATAGATATTATTTTTATAATATGTTGTTATTGACTACTATTCTAGAATATTCTATGTATACAAATATACATATATATAATTGTAGAGTCAGAATGCAGAGAAAGTACATTGCACTGATTAAGGCACTCTACTCGCACTCATGCAGTCAGGTGAGGGCTTACGGCGAGTTGTCATCTGAAGTGGTGACGACTAGTGGCATCCGTCAAGGATGCCCATTATCCCCATTCCTATTCAACTTCATCATAGACGTACTAATGAACTTAACCCTAACACACTTCAGCGACTCAGGGAATGACTTGCTACCAGGGAATAATCTCATCGACTTAGAATATGCGGACGATATAGTCCTTCTAGGCGAGGATGCTGAAAAAATGCAGAGTCTACTGAACACCTTGAACAACAATCTTCGTATGTTTGGCATGCGATTCGCCCCTGTAAAATGTAAGATGATGCTGCAGGATAGGACTACACCGACCACTAGATTAGAAATAAGAAGTGAAGTGGTAAAGCACGTTGACCGCTTCACTTACTTAGGAAGTACCATCAGCCCCAACGGGTTGATCTCCGACGAAATCTCAGCACGAATACAGAGGGCTAGGTTCGCATATGTCAGTTTAAGCCGACTCTGGCGTAGACGTGATATCCGACTATCGACCAAAGAGCGTGTGTACTGCTCAACAGTCCGCTCCGTCCTCCTTTATGGCTGTGAGACCTGGCCATTGAGAGCAGAAGACATGAAAAGACTAGCTGTCTTCGATCATAGGTGTCTGCGTTCTATCTCCCGCGTGAAGTGGTATAATAAGTGAGCAATAATGAAGTTAGGCATCGAGTGCTAGGTAAGGAGGGAAAATCAGTCGACGAGACTGTGAAATTACATCGACTGAGATGGTTAGGACATGTGTTACGTATGCCTAGTCATCGCCTTCCTCGACAATGGGCAATGTTAGCTGATATAGGGCCAGGCTGGAAAAGAGCTAGTGGCGGTCAAACCAAAACATGGCTTCACCAGTCAGTCAAATCCACAAAAGTTAGTCTAAGCCACGTAGGAGGGTGTAGACTTCCTGGTTGGGGTCCTCGAGATGGTAAAAACCAATGGTTGGAAACAATTGGTGACATGGCTCAAAATCGTTCTCAATGGCTGATGAAGAAGCATCCACTCCTTGTGACTTATGATATCCAATTAAACTATATTGTTCTTCGTTATTACTATTCTTTTGTCTCACACCTCTGTTTACTGTCTCTAATATGCATTTCTTCTACTTTCTTCTCTTCCTTTGTGTGCTACATGGAGTGTGTCGAAAACCGACCGACCGACCGTAGAGTCAGAAGAGGAAATTATCGAAAAGGATATTCTTTGCTCAATTATTTTATTAGTTTTTTTTATAGATGTCTGAATGAATATTTTTGCTAAATGATATTAGTTGAAACTGTAATTTGTTAAGTTAGATAAACACAAGCACAGTTATCAAATATTGTAGATCAGTGATCAGACAATGCCTAAACAAAAGCATATATACATACATGACAAAGATAAGGGCTTACTTCTTGTAAAACAGGCAATTGACCAATTTGTTGTAAGTAATGAATAATCATGATAATACATGCATATGAAGAAATTCCACCAGCTGCTGCCTTCCCAATTTTTGTTATCTGTACAAGAGAATAAATCATTTTAAAGGTGTAATGAAACTATGTACTATACAAACAGAATTATTCTGAGTTCATCATATCTTATTGTAAGAACTCAAAAAACTGAACAGCTAAGAGAAATATCCCGTTGATTCATTATGTTAAATAGAAATGCTCAGTCTGTGTTGGTATGTCAACTTCTAGTACGAACGCTGCAACGACATCTCAGGATTGACGCAAAGTAATAACTTATATCTATTGCACGAGAGGTGGCTTTCGTGACCCAGTAGGCAACTGCTTTGGCATTTGAAACGATGGGTGTAGGTTTCAAGTCTCCATGAGAACACCACCACCCACTGGGAATGCAGTTCCATCGGGATGACGAGTCCCAAAGAAGAAGAAGAAGAAGACAGCATCCTGAATTCCACTACAAGTCCTTATGCATCAAATTATTTGACTCAACATGTTTAATTAACTAAATAAGAAATTGTTGTAGATTTTGTACTCTTACTTAACTTCATCTCACAATTTTCATATAAGTAAAGAAATAAACATACCGATGTTAATTAAAAACGTTATGCAAAACAGTAGGTAGATTTCTAGCTATAATTTTATACGATAAAACTAATAGTGAGAAAAAACAAGATTAATAAAATGTCTTCTGATATGAAGAGTTTCAAAATAAGCGTACACTAAATACAACTAAAAAAACATCTGCTAAGTCAACAACTAGACTTTGATATATATTCTTTGATACACACACTCTAGGGTTGTCGATTATTAACAGTACTCTAAATTGTGTTATTTCAAGACACATGACAAGAATACTAAATAGAAGTATTCCACTATGAAACTCTGAAAAAGGTGTGTTCACGAATATTATGCATCTGCAATTCAAGAGCAGATAACAAACAAAAGTGGCAGAATCAAGCTTACGGTTATTGATCGGTAGAAATAGTTATTTACATTAAAGCTATGCTACAGCATTTCACTAACCAAACTACTCATAAACAATAATCAGAGACTAATTATAATAAAGTTTTTGTATTTCCCAATGAATGAAAAACAAAACGATATTGTTTAATAATACTTTGATAAAGCTATTAGCATTAAATAGCGAAACGTCAGTAAAAACAATATCATTTTGTTTTTCATTCATTGGGAAAAACAAAAATCTTTATTGTAATGAATATCATATACCCAATGCCCAAATTTTTTCAAACCGTTAAAAGTGAACTTGGTTTGGACATATATAAAATAATCAGAGACTTTTAATTGAATTTTAGATTTTCCCGTCGATTGATTGGACCGAAGTGCTCGGCACTGGGTTCGAGACTCGGTGGGAACATCATCACTCACTGGGAAATGCAGGCAAATCCAGTTAGCTGACGAGTCCCAAATAGGACGAAATTCTGGATTCCACTGCTAGTCACCATCCACCAATTAAATAATAATCAGAGACGCTAAAAAATCCGACTACAAGGCAATTACATAGAAATAGATACATTTATTCATCGCCTCATGTCTTCTTTTGAAAAAGTAGAATCTTAAAACAAAGTGTGTCTGAAAGTATAACTATGAAGACCTATTGATTACGTGGACATTCTTTATTGTCCACAGAACAACCGAACCAGTTTGCCAAAAGATTATGAGAAACGATAGTCATTATTTATGCAGTCAATAAATGCATCAGTGGTTCAGTGGCAGAATGCTCGCAAACCAGCCACATAGCCCCGGGTTCGGTTCCCGGCAAACAGTAGGCCTAAAAAACAAGGAAGGTTGAGCATGAGGCCGGCAACCCCGTCCTGTAAAAACACCTCAGCTACTGAGAATTCAATGCCTGAAGCCCAATGTTCCACTAGGAAAGTAAGGGAATGAAAAAAGTGCAGTCGGTCAATAAATTCTGCACAAAAATAAATTTTTTAACGAAAACTCAAATTATGCATAGTCTGATGACTGGGAAAATAAAAAAAATTATGAAACAGAAAGAAGTTGAGACAAAAGTTAAAAACAAAAGTGAAACTTACTTTGGTGACAGTTTTCAAAGCAATCCCCAAGATACGAAGTTTCGGTTGAAGTTCACTGTAAAAGGCCAACATTCGTGTATTTGAAAGTGCCTAATATTACGAAGAAGAAAATAATTAAAATTAAATAAACAACAATTATACCTAAAACATAAAGAAGACAGAAGTGATGAAAATTACCAACCAACAGTAACAAGCACCAATTACTATAAACGGGAGAGATTCAATTGAGGTCACTTCTTCCATTTATCTAGGCAGCATCGTTTCAACTACAAACGACAGCACGGGTGAGGATATTCGAATCAGAATCAGAAGGACAAGGCAGACTTTCATCACTCTGAAATCAGTTTAGAAGTCTTTTGCACCCCACAACATAAAGAATACAATTCGGATTTCCAACACCAATGTTAAGTCAGTTCTTCGATATGGATCAGAAACTTGGAGCGTCACTAAACGATATTCCAACAACCACCTGCAAGCTTTTATCAGTAGGTGTCTACGCCGACTCCATACTGAAGATCATATGAGCAGCTAAAAAGGGATAGGCGACAAGAAACTTTGGGAACAAACCAACCAAGAACCTATTGCATAATAAATGCACCGAAGAAAACTGAGATGGGTCAGACACAGGCTGAGTAGACTGTTGTATGATGTCGCATATCAGGCCAGCCTTGGTAGTTGAATCTGAATGGGAAACGACATATTGTGCGTGTATCCAAGGGTGATATGGGGGAGATATTATGAGGTGTGAGCCTATAGACAATCGTGGAACAAGCCAAAGAAGTCTGCAGAGAACCGGACAAAATGCAGACGTGTTGTTGAAGCCTTGTGTTCCATTTGAACCCAGGAGAATAATGACATCATACAAATTTTGCTCGATAACCTAACGGTATTTGCATCAAATAAATATCCCACAACAACGATACATTCTTATGCTATCAATAAAACTAATTCTATCAATAGTTGTGAATGTGAAGACAGACATCAAAGTGAACGCTTACACCTGACAGACAAACAGCGTGGTAATACAAAATAGCACACTTCGTATATGCACATATACTGTGAAATAACAAGTAAAAAAAGTTAATGCCAACTGTAAAATTTCATATGATACAGCAAAGTGCAAAAGTTATCGAGTAATGGGAAATTATTGTTCATTTACAACAGCCCAAGGTATTTCGGCCTCATGGGGGCAGATTGTAAGCTTTATTACAGAAATCTCATGTGAACAAATTCGAGTTCATAGACTTTAAAGATTGAAATGATATTTGTATCTGATCAATCTTTGTCTGTTTTCCAATATCACTAATATTATACCCAAGAACACGAAGACATAACATATCACACAGAGAGACATGCCAAACTGTGAGGAAAAGATGGAGTCACTTCTTTTATGCAGAGAAATATAAGATATACACTTGAATGACTTGGAATAAACGACGATTCAATACTGACATCATCGTATATTTTCATTAATAATAATTGTATTATTGTCTCCTTTAGTTCCTAGAGGAACATAGGGCTTCACGTTAACGTCTCCATTGCGTTCGGTTCTCCACCAACATTTTCACTTGGCTACACGTCTGTCCGCATGCTTTCATCTCCTCTTCACATGACCCCAACCATGTTACCCTCGCACTAATGACCAACTCGCCACTTCCCGTTCGGGTTCCACTCGAGTGATGTCACTTGATGGTTTGTTTTCTCAGAGTATGGCCAATCCACCTCCATTTTTTCCTGCAGATTTGTTGCACAATCGGTTCCTTCTGGGTTGGTTCTCTACCAGAGATCCCTGTTGTTGATCTTTTATGTCCATCTGATCTAAGGTGTTGAGCAAAGATAGCTGTTGATGAAGGTCTGTAGTTTGTTCGAAGTGTCCTTGGTGACGCTGCGCCAAGTCTCTGATCCGTATAGTAACACTGACTTCACATCGCAGCTGAAAATTCGGATCTTGTTTTTCATGTTGAGTGCTGTTGATCTCCACACAGACAGGAGAGTAATGAAAGCTTACCTTGCTTTCCCGATCCTCGCTTTAATTTCCTCATCAGTTCCGCCCGCCTGTAGTTCAAACGATGCTTCCCAAGTAGGTGGTAAAGGAGGTTGCTTCTCTCAGATTTCTCCCATTTATGTTGATTGTTGTCTGTTGTTGTTGCTGTTACTGTTGGCCAGGAATCTTCATCACCTCTGTCTTCTCTATGTTCACTTGAAGTTCTATCGTTGATGCTTCTTCTGCCAACTTATCGCTTTTCACTTGCATATCTTCCAGTTTGTGGAAAATCAAACATATAATGAGAAAATAATCGTATTAACTTTGAAAACGAGTCAATTAGACACCATTTGAGAGTACAAAAATAGATTACAATATCAAATCTACATCATTGAAAGAGTAATTTTTCCCTCTCCCTTTCTCTATTGTTGAAAATTTTTTATAAAACTTACGAGGTAATTAGAAAAGCTTATGTCCACTTCAAATGAATTTCTAAAGGATACTTTCAATATTGGAACACGAGCTTTTAGTACCGGTTGAACTTGAACGAGTTGTAATCGATTTGAGCTCCGAAATAATTGATTTCTAAATTTCTTAATCATCTAAAAATAAATAAATGAATAATAGTAATAACATGATGTCATAATGAATGAATGTACAATATTTTATAACCAGGGTGATCCATCCATATTAGAATAAACGTACAATAGAGATATGCTTGAAAAAAACCAGTATGAATCTACGTTTATTAAAGTACAATCTGATATGGTTCTCTAATCAATAGTCTGCAGACCAGTGCACTATGTTCTATAGATTTTATCAAAATATATATATTCAGGTAAATTCAAGTGAAAAGAATGAAAGATGACAATGGTAAAAGATGAGGAGTAAACGACTGCAGTACAACAGGTGAGTTATTCAAGTGATAGTCATAACAAATTTACCTGTTTTTCGTTTCCGTCTCTTTGATATGACAGAGTAGACGTGGTCGATTACAATTTCAATTATCTCAACGGTTAGTTTTATGCGAATTTGTATAACGTGTTTAAAGGAATACTGTTATGATATCAAATGTTATGTTTAACTGTTGTGATGGTGTTTCATCGATTGTTTTTTAGATGGTTGGAATATCTGTCGTGCTGTTTACTATCCTATGCGCGAAAACACCTTGTGGTTACTTTCGTCCACATTCTGGTACAGCACTTACATTCCGGCAAATAATCCTTGCGTTAAATGTGAAGATGAGTGTTAGATAAGCAGGAGAAATGTTACGAGCCAGTTTTTTCCTACTTAACCTGTAAAACAGACGTTTGACCTTATGTAAACATTAAGGGTCCCATCACTGGTGTGTGCTAGCAAGTCAGAACAAAGGTTTTTATTGATCAAATAAAATAATCACATAATACTAGCGGTAATTTCTAGTCATACTGCCATTTTTCATCGAGCCTTTCTCAGTCAGTCTTTTGTATCTGTCTGTCTCGCAATCTGGGAATAGAATTGATTCACTACTTTCAACCTAGGACTTTGCACAGATGTGCACTACTCCAACTTGCCACGCACCCTCTTTCTACCACACAAAGCAAGAGAAGAGAGTAAAGAGAGATTCATCAACAGAGATAATAAACAGAAAGAATAGTAATATGGAAGAACAGTGGATTTTTATAGGATATTATAATAAACAAAGAGTAAATGTAATTTAATTGGTGGATGGTGACTAGCAGTGGAATCCACGATAACGCATATTTCGTCCTATTTGGGACTCGCCATCTGGATGTATCCGCATTCCCTAGTGAGTGATGATGTTCCCACCGAGGCTCGAACACAGTGCCTGTAGTTTCAAACGCCAAAGCGTTATCCACTAGACCAATTGGGCCACGACAGCCACCTCTTGTGCAACGGGTCATATTAATTATTTAACTGAATTTTAGATTTTCCCGTCGATTGATTGGACTGAAGTTCTCGGTCTCAAGTTGACATGTCGGTTTCTCGTGTAGATGCTTCGGCGATGTCTGGGCATGTAATTCGAATTTAATTGGTGAATTGTGACTAGTAGTAGGATGCAAGATGCACATTTCGTCCTATTAGGGACACGTCAGGTGGATGTAACTGCAATCCCTAGTGAGTGATCATGTTCTCGAAGAGACTTGAACCCATCACATATTGCTTAAAACACCGAAGCGTCATCTACTAGGCCACTTGGCTAACGACAGCCACTTCTTGTGCGACGGGTGTTAGTTATTATTAGTTCAAAGTCAATATGTCAATAGAGAGGGAATATTTCAGTCCAATTTAATCAATAAACGGGAACTATAAATATTAACTCAAACAAATAATAATAACAATAATAACACGAATAGTTTAAATAGTTTACTTAAGCATACCTCAACAGTTGTCTTTTCATCTTGCATAGCTAACCATTCAGGTGATTTAGTCGGAAAGAATACACAAACGTCTAAATCACTTGATTGTAGATCGAATCCATTCGCACAAGAACCAAATAATTCAAGTTGTACAGAAGGGAAACGACTAGCAAAGACTTGTTGAATTTTTTGAACAAATTCCTGAAAGAAAAATGATTTACACTGAGACAATTCACACAGTAACACACTACTGAATCTACAAGCATGTGATATATATATATTTTTAAACTATTACCAATCATGAGATCAAGATATTTTTAAATAGTAAAGTGGATACTAAAAAAAATGAGGCCATAGTTTTGATGATTAATTCTCTTTATGAAGTCGGGTCTGTAAAGGTGGATATCGATTAACAGACAACTGCATTCCAACAGATCAAAATGAAATTAATTAAAAGAGTAAATCCTGTAACTAAAAACCACCTGAAAATCACAGTACTTTATACTCTACGAATCATTCTCACAGGAATGCATGACAATAACAGTACACAACAACACAAATCGCCATGAAAGATAAAACAGCACTGATCCGTTAGATGTAAGTATAGAACTTGGGCACTGTGATGGAATGTAATTCCACATTAGATAAGTTTATTTTAAATATCACACAGTGATACAGTATTAACAACTGGATGATAAGGTTTCGAGCATAAATTATTACCACTCATAACCATATCAATTCAGCTACACGATTTCACAATGTCTTATATATATATATATATATTCTGTCTTTCCAACTTCCTTTGTTGTTTGTTGCCACTTTCCCCATATCTCCGGCATAGGTGTTGAGTCATTCCGATTGCAAGTGTGAGGTGTTGAATCAGTAAACTAAGCTTTAGTGATTAACCTCTCTTTCTCCACCTAATTATATTACTTTCTAATACCCTCACCCTGCCCTCCCCCACGTCATTGTGAGATTACATGCAAGTGAATGCAGTGCAATGGCTGAGCTTTTTTCTAGGTCATTTAACTTAGTAGGGTCAATTATTTTAGGTGTAACTAAATTCTTTTTTATGTTCCAATAATCTAACTGACCCTAATCTACTAGTTTCATCTATTTAAACTAACCTTACGGCCATTATATGATTGTTTTTAAATTGGAACTATCGATTCCTTAAGCCGACAAAGTTTATCTCTTAGAGAGTTGTTTGGTTGAAATACCACCCTAATTCAACCCTCTATGAAAAATGAAGGGAAACAAGCTAGAAAACATAAGTAAACTAAAACTAGTATTAAAAATGACAAAAATCATTTGGAATTGAAAGCCTCTGAAGTACTACCACATAAAGAAGGAACGTCAGAGACCACACGTAGGATTTTCAATGAAGCTGCATCGCTGTGTGATATTTAAAATAAGCTTATCTAATATGGAACTGATGCGTTTGGCTTCACAGTCACAGTAACTCAGGGTTCAGTGTCAGCCTGCTAAAATCATTAGGTAACCCGAATTTCAACACAGCATAAGACATGAAATCTATTCAATTTCATTCATTTTGTTTAAACCAACCAATTACCTCCTTGAAGAACATTCTGTATGTACGTGAAGTTTTTAAACTGGTTTTAAATATACCGCAAGATGTGCTTTGCAGAGACGAAACAGTCAGGGAACGGAGGATGTTTTAGATCCCGTCAATATCCCGTCAAATAATATACTGTAGATAAATATAATCTTTAAGATTCTCTAACATATGTATAAACGTATTGTTCAGAATAAAGAAAGCTATTGCTAAAAGTGTTATTTGTTAGATGGTGTCTAACAGTGGAATCCAAGATGGGCCTATGTGGCTCATTAGCTGGAGTTACCTGTATCTTCAATGAGCGATAGTGTTCTCACTGAGACCCAAACTCTGCACCTATTGCTTTAAACAATAAAGCAAATATTTCGGTTCAGTGAATTGACAGGGAGGAAAAAATGACTCAAACAAACTATTACTATTATCATTACTGAATGATTGTGTAACCCGAAAAATCTTCCATTTCATTTGTCTCTGTGATGGGCTGAATACTTAATGATGAAAACTTTGCCATAGATGAAGAATTGCTAACAACTTCCTACTATTTCTTATGATAAGAAGAAATTTTAGAAGACAAAGTTCCAATTAATAATCTAGATGATTAATTTGTTTTTCTTCCACTCCTTGCTATCTGAGTGGAACATATACCCCATCAAAGCTTTTGGCGTTTTAGTAGCGGTGATGTCACCCAGTGGGGTTGTTAGCCTCACGTCCAACCTCCCATCTATTTCTGAGTTTCTATCAGATAGTAAGCTAGGCGACGTTGAGGAGTATGTGTGTCGGCGGCGAATCGAATCCAGAGATTATGACACATATAAATGCTCAGATGACTTCTACAGTTGTTCAGCATACAAAACCTTCTCTGAGTATCATAGTGACGACGCTGAGAACAAAATATATACTAAGGAAAATATAATTACCTATTGACATTATATCGATAAGTAAAAAAAAAAAACAGTATAAATTCTATAAAAGGGAAATTACTTTGCGAGCATGAATTTTTTCATCAGCTTCATGATATTTTTCTAGACGTTCAAGACAACTAGTTAAATCCTTTATTTGTTCAGATTTAGGCGGCCAAGTTGTTTTATTCGATAGTTTACGCCAGGCTAAAAATGATACAGATTTGTCATTGGATGTTTGACACTGAGTCCATCGATGACCAGTTACACCACACGCTTGACACTGGGGTTGGGGTGCATCAAAATGAGCCAATAGAGTAGACGGGTGATTTCGTGAGGCTAGGCCTAAAACTGATGTTTGAGTACGATGACCTCTGGAAGGAAAATGGCTACGTGCAGCAAAAGTGAAATCAAAATCCTCTGGTTGTAAATCTTTTAAAAGTTCAGAGTTATAGTAGTCCGGACGTTCATCATCTACAGGCTAAACATGCACACAAAAAAAACAAATCAATAAAACAGTTTGAAGTATTACTAAACTGTCTAGTTATAATAAAATAAATAAAAGCATAGATACTAGACGACTAAGTTTTGGTTTTTTCCCTGGAAAGTGTGATAGCGCAGTTAGTTGTCACAACAACAAAAACTGATCTCATTTTTGTTGTTTGGGAAAGAAAAGTATTTTATTCCTTTGGTGTTCTGAGTGGAACATAGGGGACTTCAAGCCTGGTATTTCTTTTCATGGGTAGGGGGTTGCCAGCCACAACCTCCCCACCTCACTGGGCTTACTGTCGGTTAAGTGAGGTCAAGGAATGCGTCGGTCGGAAATCGAACTTCGGACGATGTGCATAGTTGATGAACACTACCGATGAACCACTAACGCATAAGCCTCAAAATAATTTTCGCCTTATCTAAATTCAGTAAATTTCAAAACTGAAAACTGGTTAACACAAATGACAAATTTGGTTCCAATGGTTTTAAAATTGTTTAGAAGTTATAATGTAAAACCATTAAGCCTGAGAATTAAAAAGTAAAGATTGTATACAGTAACCAGTTGATGACATTAGACATCAAAGGAAAAATAAAGAGCCTTTTATGGTATTAATCAATGAACTAACGAACATAAATGCAAGGAAAACTGGTAGACACAAATGAGAAAATGGAAAAAAGGAAAATTACCTGACTAACTGCAATACGTGAAAGAATAACATCATTCCACTGGAGTACTTTACTTTTTTTAGCCTTTACAGAATTATTTTCCTTCATATCGGTATTTGCTGTAGTAGATATATCCTCTTCTTTGCCTTTTTTGCGTTCTTTCCTAGATAGCTTACTAGGAGGAGCCATTACTGTAGAAGTATCCTCGGCAATTTTATCTGAAGCAGCGGTGACGGATTTGTTCGGTGTAGAGCATAGGTTGGAGTCGCCAGCTTGTTTTGAGTTCTCTGATGTCAAATTTATATTATCAGGCTAAAAGATAATGAATAATAATACAACAGGTAAAAGCCATACAGAAAAGGTTTACGAAAATTAGAATATTACTCTAAACACATGTATAGGTAATATGCCTGTCTACTCTAGAGATAATGGTAAAGACTGCTAATGACCTGCATGCAGTCAGTGGACTCTATTTAAGCTAGCTGAGGCGGGCTCCGAACACAAGGAAGTTGCTCAAACATGAGCTGAATTAACATATATCAGAATAAGTTATAACCATTCGTTATTTAGACAAAACGTATTCTGAGAAAATCCTACAGTATGTGAAATAATCGCTTGAAAGGATGGAGCCTAATAACTTCACAAGAGGAGTAACGCATGGAACATTTTAGGAGAACAATTTGAATAGCAATTCCTTTCACCTGTATCTACAGTAGAAATAACCACGAAACAGTCGCAGGATACATAGGATATACACAACTGACCGTAAGTTTCTATAATGTATATGCGAATCTGAAGTCGAATGGGAATACGTTAGCAGCAAACATTTTAATAAAAATTATCATCTGATAGGATATAAATTAACTGAGAACTGTAGGAAAATTATGATAAGTTCACAGCTTCCCAGAGATTGACTACCAACTTTTAACACCAAACAAATTACACAACGAACCACTCAGATTTCAACCAATAAACAAAACTCATCTACAAGTGCATGACAGATCTTTTCCGAATAACCGAATTCGAACAACTAGCTACATTGATAGACTTTGATTAGCTGTGCGTCGGTGGCACAGTGGTTAGGATTCTCACCGACCATGCACAAGGTCCGGGGTTCGATCCCCTGCCGACGCACACCTGATATCTATGGTCGGCCTGCAAAATTTGGGCTATCGATATTACATGCTGAAAATTCCATACCTGTACCAAAAAATACGGTGTGGAATCAAGCTGTAATCAAAGTAATAAATAGTTACGACGGCATTTTAATTCCTATTGACGTAAAAAGCAATCCTATTAATATCCTCATAAATGGAAGATTAATGATTACAGCTAACCAAGAAATATATAAAAATTAGAAATAGTATATAAGACAAAAGCATGAACTATGTGTGTAAACTATCATACCTCAGTTTCATCATTGCCAGTAGTATGACTTTCATGTACAATCGAACAATCTATACCATCTGAACTTTTATTAATAAAGGATGATAAGGTGGTGATATGTGGATCTATTGCGCTTTCATTTAATTCATCATCATCACCTAATTCAAGTGTTCGTTCTAATTCTTCATTCATTTCATCATGATTAATAAAGCAATTATCATCTGCGAAAACTTTTTCGTCAGTTGTAACAAATTCATCACCATCATCATCATTCACTTCCAATGATGATAACTTGTCAACTTCATCAGTTCCGTCTACTTCCTCATCGTCTTCATCGGAAAATGTACAACTATTTGGACTATTAAAATTATCAGATTTTGAAGAATTCTCTTTTCCTTCTTTTTCTTCTTCCTCTTCTTTTTCACCGCCGTCTTCTATACGTTTATTGTCATTCTCTTGACTTATTTTATTAGTTACAATATTCTTTTTATTGATGATTTGAGAAGTAGAGATTTGATCATCCTTCGTTTGAACAGTTAATGGTGAATATGATGATCTCTCAGACTTCTTTCCATTTGATTCTTCTGTCTTCTAAAAGATTTATTCATGAATAAATCAGTAGGGAGAGGGACAGAGAGAGAGGAATGAGCATTAATTTGGGGAAATACAATTTAAAACAACGAAATTGTTACTGAATCAAACTAAATACTTAATTGTCATTTTATACAAACACATTTATCTTTGCATTTTATTTTTGCTAGTGAAATCTAAGCAATTTAGATTTAACCCGCCTATACAGGTTCGGACTGTTACACAGATAAAAGCATCCGTAGTAATTAGTACACAAATAAAAAGAAAATAACGAGTCTAAACACGGAAATGCGCATCGAGTGATTTAACTCAATTAAAATAAAATACGTTGGTTGAAGTTTTTCTTAGTAGTATCTTGAATTTCAAGGGCTTTAGCAGCATTTCTCTATCCCACCTTGTTTTGTAAGTTCCCCTTTTACCTAGCTCCACCATTGGCCAAAAGCTCTCATTTCCTCCTCATACGATCTACTCTGCCTTACCCTCGAATCCACGCCCAATTCGTCATTATCTATTTGGATTCCACTCGAGGGTCTGGTCAATGATTTCAGTCAAGGGTCCACTCAGTGCGTGTCTGATCCACTCCCATTCCTTCCTGAATATTTATTGGGCGATAGCTTCGTGGTTGGTTCCTTCCCAGAGTTACTTGTTGCTTATCCTTTCTGGCAGAACATCTTGTCTTCAGTATCCAGCAGGGACAGCTGTCGATGAAAATTTGCAGCAGCCTGTTGAAAGTGTTTTTTGATACGCATATAGGAGCACCCGCCTGACACTAGAGTTTAAAGTTCCGATCTCGTTTATTATGCTGAGTGCCACAGATTTCACATACACAAACACAGAATTAAGAGCAATAAAAATCTGTCTTGTTTATCATCCGATTCTCCGTTTGAAATCTTCATCTGTGCCACCTGTAGTCGACATGATGCTGACTTGATAACTGGAAGAGGTGACTTCATATTTCTCCCGTTGAAAATGACTGATGCTTATTGCTATTGGTTAGGTATCTTCATCACTTCTGTCTTTTATATGTTCAGTTAAAGTCCTATCTTGACTGCTTCTCCTGCCAGTTTGTTAGTTTTCGCCTGTGAATCTCTGAGTTTGTGCGACATTGGACATAAATTATCCGCGAAGTTCAGATCTTCTAAAGTCTCTTCCTCGGTTGAAGGCATGCCTATCTTCCCAATCCCAGTAGCCTGCCACATGATCCAGTCCACCACAATCAGGAATGTAATCGGTGATAGCAGGCAACCTTGTCTTACTCATATCTTCACCTCAAAGCCTTCTCTGTGCTTTCCTGATGTGAATCACTTGACATGTGGCATCATCATACAGCTGTTAAAGTGAGGCCAACAAAGATTTGGATCACTCCGCAGTGTTGAGCCGATTTCCAAATTATCTCACCTGATTTACTAACCACGGGGCTAGTGATACTTACCCCGGAAATCAATGAAATCGCCACAGTAACTTCAAAGCACAGAAAATTTTCTAAAAAAATAACAATATCTGGTAGGCTTAATATTATTTGATCAGTAAGCTTTATTGAAGACAGTAGCACTGCTCTGACCACCCCATTTTGACCAATAAGGATTGACAACGAATTCGATAGTGCACTCACTCAGCCTGTTTATCATAATGTTTAGTTGAAAATGGATGAGTAAAAACAAAATTTACACAACCAGATAAAATAATTACAATACTATGAATTCATGAACGAAAAAAAGATACAAAATCAATGTTATGAAAATTATGATACTGAAAGTACTAATTGTAGGTACATAACCAGAAAGGTATGGTATGGCATATAAAAAGTCGAAACATAGTAGCGCAGATGCCAAATTTGTGACACAGATGGTCAATACAACTCAAACAAAAGCCAACAATTCTCTATTTATTCCAAACTTTTTAGTTGGATGTCAGCAATGAATTTAACCATCCTACAATTAATTGAAGTTGTTTTTTTTCAGTAGCAGTGGTGTTTTTCGCGAGGTGAAGTTGCTAACCTCCTACCTAACATTCTCCCTTTGTGGGAGGGGGTGTTACTACCGGTCAGACGAGATTCGGGTATACACCGATCGGAAATCGAACCCAAACCACATGTGTGGTTAGCAAGCATCACTTATCTCTAGAATTGATCAACTCAAAATTCTATATACTCTTTGTGTACTTCTAATACAATATAATCAAACTTCGAATAACTCTTAGATATATTTCAATATACAAGACAGGTATAGGCAATGATAACAGCAGAAAGCAAATATGAAATATTCATTTCAAAATTTTAAAAGTGTACAGCTTTAAGGGAGGCATATACACTACAAATTGACCATTTGTCCAATCACTGCTAACTGACTGATTGTCAATTTAGAACTGCGTAGTGCATGGAAGTGCAGCAGTTGGAGCTGACACAGTCCAAAAGCAGAGAAAGCAAAAAAAACAGGAAATCAAAAGAACTAGAATGAGTGGAAATGTACATGAGTAACATGCGAACAGATATTAGGGTTCAATGGATGTGGGAGATCACAAAGAGTGAATGCATCTGTCCCACCTATATCTTCTTAGCATTCCAAGGACCACAACCAGACAGTCTGTACTTCCCTAACGATTATAGACTTCAAGGATTGATGTCATGTTCTAAGATGATTATCCCTAATTCTTCTCCAAATTAATTTTGTATCAACCAACATTGTTGGTCGAGGAAGACGGTGGCACAAGACGCCGTAATACTTCTATGCAATCATTGTTGCGAATAGGTTCATTTATCTACTAAATGCCAATGAAATTTTAATTTTAGTGATAAAACGAAAATTAAACAGATAACTAAGATTCATTCATTAAAAAAAACAATTTTTTCGAAGGTGTGTGTACTTCCTAAGAAGTAAAACATACTTGTAACGCAGCACCATTTCCTTCTTGTATGTTAGCATCGTCATTAGTTGAATTGACAGCATTTTCTGATGGTTTAAGGGTAGATAGCCAACTTTTGATACTCTGTAATGAACAAAAAATAATGCACAACAAATGACGAGGGGGAAAGGACAAAAAAGGAGTTCCCTGAATCGATATGAAAAATATAAACAACAATAAAATATTGGAACATTTGTTCTAATGTTATTGAATAAAGTATAGAATGGCAGTGAAACCTCTAACTCAACTTCATCGATTTCGAAAAGTCCTTCGACAGACAGCGTTGACCAAGAGGTAATCTGAAAACTGCTTCAACACTACGGCGTGCAGTGCCCTAAATCTTTATCGACCGCATTCAACAGCTGGTTATATGACAATACCACTTGTCAGGTGATCCAAAAAGGAAAACTCAGCGAGGCGTTCGAAGTGAATACGAGAGTAAGACAAGGCTGCCTGTCTATTATCACCGATGATATTCCTAAATGCGGTGAACTGGATCATGCGTCAGACTGTGAACAGGGTCTGAGAAAACAGGAATACATTGGAGCGGTAAGACGACTCTAGAACATATGGATTTCGCAGATGATTTACGTTTAATGTCACACCAACTCGAAGACATACAGGCGAAAAGCAACAAACTGACTGAAGAGGCAGGCATCGAAGATAGAACTCCAGGTGAACATAAGGAAGACGGAGTAAGTGATGATAACCAACCAACAGCAACAACAACAACAACAACCAGCATCAATCACCACCAACGGGGGGGATTTGACGTAGGTTACTGCCTTCATGTCAGTAAAAAGTTTGAGCATTGTGGAATAGATCAAATAAAGTATAATTACATTTCAGTGGTTCAAACAAAGATAAGTTTTTGTTATTGGTAATATTTCGAGCAAAATTACTGCCCGTGTTCACACCAACTGTTGGAATTGTTTGGATTTTTAATTCACACATTCATGATTTGTAATCATATATATATAGTTCGTTTTTTTGTTCAATCATTTTTGTGTATTCAGAATTATATTCCAGGTAGTTTACAGTTTTGCTGAGTCACTCTTGTTACATGTATCCGATGTGACCTCAGTGAATATAGATACTGTTATAAAACTGTCTTTCCATTTATTCATATTAGTTCATTTTTAGAATACAAACATTGTTCCAATCGATATTGTGTTTTTTGTCCCATGCATATTCAGCTATAGATGAATTTTTTCCTAAATTCTTGTAAGCTTGTGTTCCTGTTGGTTGACCTTTAGTTAGGCGTTTATGTTCATTCACTCTTATTTTGAGTGATCTGGACGTTTGACCCACATATTTAGTCGGACAATCACCACAAGATATTTTGTAAATTACATTGTTTTTATCCATCATTTTTATGGGATTTCTCAGTTGATTTATCTTGTTTTTAATTAGATTCGTCGGTTTAAACGAGGTGCAAATTTCAATATTTTTGACGTTTCTTCGAATTACCTCTGATATACCGTTTTCGTATGGTATTGTGACTGTTTTTTTGCCTTCCTCCATCTTGTTATTCTCCGGATTTACCCTCTATTTTCTCTTTTCTCTCTTATCTCTGATAAATTCTTTTGGGTAGTTGTTGTCAAGTAACATTTTGAATAGGACGTTTATTTCTTTACGCTGGTCTACGTATTCTATCTGCAAGACCTTGCATTAATCCTCGTTTTACCCTGAGTGGATGAGCTGAGTGATAATCAAGGAATCTCCCACAATGTGTAGTTTTTCTATATAGCGTCGTTTTTATGCTACCCATCATCTGTTACTCTTTGTGTTTTTCAGTCTAACATAGGCAGTTCCCCAATTTCATTCTCTATTACCGTAGTGAATTTTATTGAGTCAATATGACTGTTTATGTGTGAGAATGATTTTTCAACATCGTTCTTTGTCATTGTTACTAACGCGTCGTCTACATATCTCCACCAACAATTTAGTGATGACCTGAATGGTTTAAGTGTATTGATAAAGTGTTTGATAAAGACTGGACCCAGAGGAATTTACAAAAGTTCTAAAAAAAAAGTCAAACACCAATCAAATTGCAATCGACCATTTAATATCTTAAACACTAATAAACAGTTATCAATAGTTTTCAATAAGGCGTTGTAAAAGTATATGAGTTTTTTTTTAGATAAAAAGTATTTTAGGTTAAGAGAATAATTATGATTTAAAACACCTACCATTCTGAACTGAAAAGTGGCACATCTTACAACTCTTCTTTTTTGTACTGTATATATTGCCTGTGATATATACACTTTGAAATGTTTTAACCAAAACCTGTAAGCATAATTCCGTGCAATCCAATTAAAATCGGATAATGTCATCTCATCTGATCCTGTCAACGGTGAGAAAAACTTATATTGTGGTAAATTTGAACATGCCTCGACAAGACCTATTAATATTGTAAGAGATGAAAAAACAGACTAAAATGAATTTTAGGCAATGATAATTAACAGAAGATAAAATTAACTAAAAATACGAAAGCTTGTATAACCCTATCACTAGATTGTTGGCTATGTAACTCAGTTCTGTTTGACTTTTGTCGATTGTCACTGTATCCTTCACTTGATTTTATCAAGTTAAAAGGTATATAGGCATGTTCGAAACACTTAACAGTTTTTAAAATCATGAATTTGATATAATTATGGTATCTACTTGTAACGGTATGTGCGTCGGTAGAGTTCAGCAGTAGAATACTCAGCAACCACTGTCACGTGACTCAGAGTTCGATTCCCGGTCATTCCCACTGCTAAATCTCACTAAGCTGGGGGTAAGTAAGTCAAGCGAAGAAGGAAGACTGGATGTGAAGCTAGAGACCCCACCCCGTAAAAAAGAAAGAAAGAAAAACACCACACTACTACTGAGTCTTCAAAGCTCAAACTGGAAGCCCTACGTCCCTATCGGAACACAAAGGAATATAATAAATAAAATTATAGAGGTGAATTGGTGGATGGTGACTAGCAGTGGAATCCACGATGACGCGCATTTCGTCCTATTCGGGACTCATCAGCTAACTGGATGCACCTGCATTCCTCAGTCAGTGATGATGTTCCCACTGAGGCTCGAACACAGTGCCCATAGTTTCAAACACCAAAAGCGTTATTCACTAGACCACTTGGGCCACCAGAGCCGCCTCTTGCGCAACCGGTCATATTAATTATTTAATTGAATTTTAGATTTTCCTGTCGACTGATTGGACCGAAGTGCTCGGTCTCAGGTTGAGACGTCGGCTTCTTGTGCAGACGCTTCGACGATTTCTTGGCATGCAACTGCGGAATGCAGGTACATCCAGATGACGAGTCCCAAATAAGACGAAATGCGCATTCTGGGTTCCACTGCTAGTTACAATCCTCCAATTAACCTCTAATTACACGCTCAGTGTTCTACATATCTCACCGTTTTCTACACAACTAACAACAGCACAGTAAGCGTTTTATGGTGTGAAAACTTCGGAATAAAATATATTTTAAGAAAACTGTGAGAAATAGCTGTTTATTGGTTTCAATTTAACAAATTGTGAAGGTTTTCTAAACAATCTATGATTCGAAAAACTACTATCATCATAATCAATTTTCACCTAACCTATCAAATATGCTTCCTTAGTGTTTATACTCTATATGCATATGGCTTAATAGGAATGCTTATGTAGTAGTATTTGAATATACAATAGTCCGTAAAGGTTCTGTGTTCATCAGCAAACAATCATCTTCAATTCTAAAAAAAGATATGAATCACACTGGCATTCAAAACATGAATTTCTCGAAATTAATTATAGGAAGAACAACAAAAAGACGGAATAAAAGACTTTAAAAGAACTTTCAACCGTATTGAATGTAACAAAACGAGGAAGGTACCAACCACCTTCCTAACCTAAAGCGAATGTTGTATAACATTGTCAAGAGAAATATACTTATTATCAGCAGTTATTCTTAAAAAACTAACAAACGTCATTCCCCTCCCCCTCCCACATCTGTTCTTGAATTCGTTGAACTATAATGGATTATGATGTTTTATTCTTGAGTCTAGAACTTATAAAGCTTGGTGAAAAGTCATCAATAGTTAACAAAAATATTCACTGAATCACGTCATAATTTTTCCATCTTAGAAATAAAACAAAGAAATGTTCGTTAAAGACAGTAGTATTTACTAATATACTTTAGTACATTGCCCGCAACATATAAATATATATATCAGTAGCTAACTAATGTTGTTCGAACTCGATGTTCAGTGGCGTAAAATGTTATTAAATATCCAAGTATTGGTTTGTTGGGATTTGATTGACTGGTTACAGAATTTCATCATGAACTGACATCGGTTAAAGAACCATTGGAAAGCCTGGGAGTACTGGACAGCTGTTTCGTCCTAGTTTGGGACTTTTCACAGTACGCACCCACCACTACGGTTCGAACCCAGGACCTTATGGTTACAAGGCCAGTGATCTCGTAGACTATTCAGCAGCCACTGGGACTCAATCCAATGACCCATGAATTCCAACTCCTACCCATTCACGAAATAACGCGACTACTAGCCAATGTCTTCGGCGAGTACTTGTCATCACGCCCAACCTGGTGTACCCTATTGGTCACGACTTCACACCTGAATAGGGTCAGTCGCTAGTGAGCATCCAGTGGTCCTCCAACCAATGTCAACTCATGATGAAATCCTATAACCTATTAAATATCCATTTATCCTACGAACAAAGCACTGTTTTGAAAGGGAAAAAAAGAAATTAAAATCCTTTGAATAAATTAATGTGTCAATACAAAACATTGAAGAGCAATGAAAAGTATCTATGGTAAAGGAATTTTAATGCTTTAAGTTTGATCATGGATTGATGTCAGTTAGAAGAAGCATTGAAAACAAGGGAGTATTGGACAAATGTTTTCTCCTGGCTCGGAATTCTATTCTCCGGAAGAACGCGATTTTAGCGCTAACGTCAACCAATGTCATTGTCGAGTATTCACGAAACGTGAAGGTTCCTGAATTTTTTGAACTGTGGGGTCGTGGTCACATAATGGTGAAAAGCCCCTTAATGGGACAAAATAGCCGTCCAGTACTCACTAGTTTTCAATGGTTCTCTAACTAACATCAGTCTGTGATCAAACCTGGAACAAACGAAATCCCTACGAACTAACTTTTGAATATTTTTTGATGTATTTTATACACTGAACCAGAGATAGAAATACTGATGCCTTTAAAATACGAGATTTTAAAATATTGGTAATTGTATTTTATACTTTTAGAATACAGAAAAATGCTCAAAAAAGAAGAGAACATTCATCAAATGAGTCATAAAAACATCAAAATGATTGTTGGATTATCATCTAATCTGGATAGTTCAGACATAAAAACTTCATTAACCTAAAGAAGCTTTAGAAACTCAGGCTTAACACTAACTAAGCTGTCAAATAATCAAAAATATGAGGTCGGCATGGATTTGACCCATCGATTCGATCACGAATCGGAATCAAGAAGGAAACCAGTAGAAACAAAAATGCACTGGACAAATATTTTATTATAGCTTGAGACTCTTTAGAAGTGAACAGGCAAAAATTGGCGAGGTGGATAATAGAGCGAAGAAACGTCAATTTATGAGATGTGCAGGTTACTGCTTTGGATCAAATAAACTATAATTCCTACCTTCTTTCAATTCACGAAGTGGATATGTCGTCAATTATTGTTATAAGTGACTATTCATCAAGTGAAATATGAGAATAAATGGATACACTAATAAAGAAGCCCAATGGTTCATAATGACATTTACCGTTACGATAAACAAAAACAATTCATCATAATTTCAATAGTAATAAAAAGTTATCTAACCAGATATAGAGTAAGATTTCCATTTTTCTTATTGTTTCGCCTAAAATAACAGTATGAAGATTATCACTAGAAAGTAATATTCCCAGTGCTGAAATTAACTGGATTCCTTGAGTTTCTGAACTCAATCTGTAACTTTCGTTAGTCGGTTAAGTTTATACTATGAAATGTGAGGAAGTACAGTTCAATGGTAAAATGACGTTTTCAATAACTGATGTCGGCTCATGATGAAATCCTCCATGCAATCAAACAAAATCCCTACAAAACCAATACTTGAAAATTAATCTGATGCTCACTAGTGACTGGCCCTATTCAGGTAATGACCTGGGGTTCTAGTGGGAAGCCGTGACCAGTAGGGTACAGCAGGTTCAAGATGAGGCAGTAACTCACCGAAGAAGACATTGCGAAATGGTTGCGCTATGTCGTGAATGGACAGGAGCTGGAATTCATGGGCCATTGGATTGGGTCCCAGTGGCTTAATGGTCTACGAGCTCTTTGGCCTTGTATCCATAAGGTCCTGGTTTCGAACTGTAGTGGTGGGTGCGTACTGTGAAGAGTCCCAAACTAAGCTGACGAAACAGCCGTCCAGTACTCCCAGGTGGTTTTCCAGTGGTTCTCTAACTGATGTCAGCTAGTGATGAAATCCTCCATGCAATTATGTACACGTATAAATATAATATGTATAAAAATGTAGCGGTTGGGATTTCTGGCTCTCACCCAGACTGCCCAGGTTCGATTCCCGGCGCGGTAGCCATTGCGTCGCTGGCACAGAGGTAGAATGTTCACCAGCCAATCTGGTAGCGCGAGTTCGACCCTCAGCCAACGCACTCCCAAACCTCGTTTAACTGCTAATAAGCCCGGCAAAGATGGAAGGTTGGGCGTGAGTGAGACTAGCAATCCCAACCCGTGCACAAATAAAACCACTACTACCGAAACTTCAAACTTCTAACTTGAAGTCCTACGTTCCACTGTGGAACGCAAAGGAATAGAAAAAAATAAGAAGAAGAACACAATAAAAAAGTTGGTGAACACACCAGGAACATCAACTGATTCAAATAATTCATCCATAACACAGTAGAGGAGATGTGGAAGCATTTGTGACAATGGAAGAGTTTTCGGTTTATTATTTTGATCATTCAATGAATTCACTAGATCTTCACTTCCCAAAGATTGGAATGCATCACTGTTATTTCTAGCAATTGAAAGTGAATGGAATTTCTCACTGATTAAATTTGTTACCTGAATAATTTAAGAATAAAAGAAAATAAAGAAAAAGAAATTTATTAATGGCAAGAGACAAATACATAAAGTCATTTTATCTATTGAATGTGTTCATCTGATTGTAGTTGATCAATAACACTTATATTATCATTATTTTTGAATGTACATTATCCTATATTGATTTTTATTCAAATATCTAAACAATGCCACTCATGTATATAAATGAAGGCGAAAAGTTGTGTGAATGACTTGATATGATTATGAGTGGCAATAAATTGTGCTCGAAACATGGTCATCAGTTAATATTACTGTATAACACACTGTGTGATTTATCAAAATAAAATCTCATCTATGATGAATGTGTTCACATTAAATATATATACAAACGATTGTAAATAACACGTGCAATTCAGCAAAAACATACTTATATTCACAAGCAATAGTCGAAAAGTCATGCCTAATGCATTAAGGATACGGAACTTAAATAGTGGAAAATAGAATTCAAAGCGGAAGAAAGTTGACTATACGGAAAGATAAAGTTTCCAAGGTAGTATATAGGCAGTAAAGAAAGGCTATAATCAGTTGATTAGCCCTGATGTCCAACATAAAGGAATCTATTTATACTGGGATATAGTTATTACGCTGGCAATCTAGTGTACACGCCACTTACACATTATTTGATTGGTAGATTTCAATTTGATGACATCAAGACTTCACAATGAATCTCAAAACCAATACATATCTACTCTGTCATTTGTTCAGTGCAATATATATATATATGATTGTTATTACTGTTCCCTTGGGTTCCTAGTGGAACATAGGGCTTCAACTGCACGTCTCCACTTGCTTCTGTCTTGTGCTGTACTTTTCACTTGCGTCCATGTTATTCCATACTGTTTCATCTCCTCCTCACACGATCTCCTCCATGTCACCCTTGGACGTCCCACTCGCCGCTTCTCTTTCGGGTTCCACTCGAGAACTGGTCTGACGCGATGTCACCCAGAGGCCTCCTCAACGAGTGTCCAATCCATCTCCACCTTCTCCTGCATATTTGTTGGGCGATTGGTTCTTGTTTTGTTTGTTCCCGTAGTTTCTTGTTGGCGATTCTTTCCGGCCATATATATATATATATAATTGTTTCTTTTGATAAATATACTGACTGAAGTTAATTGGTAGATGATGACTAGCAGTGGAATCCAGGATAACGCGCATTTCGTTCTATTCAGGACTCGTCAGCTAACTGAATGTACCTGTATTCCGAGCACTTCGGTTCAATCAATCGACGGGGAAATCTAAAATTCAATTGAGTATACTCTGACTGATACTGAAATATACTCTCCATCTCATGTCGTTGTGTCTTCTCGCTTAGGTAGTGTAGGTAGGGGGAAACAGGTAGTTGTCGTATAATGTTGTTGGAGTAGTCAAGCGGCATTCCTGATAATTTTTTTTTATTATAGCTTGATTCCACACCGTATTTTTAGTACAAGTATGGAATTTTCATCATGTGATATCGGTAGCCCAAATTTTGCAGGCCAACCATCGATATCGGGTGTGCGTCAGCCGAGGATCGAACCTCGGACCATGTGCATGGTCGGCGAGAGTCCTAACCACTGTGCCACCGATGTATCTTTGTCCAGCTCGGTAACCCTATTCAACTTAACCAAAGTATTACAAATATAAAAGTGGTGACATCATAACAATAACTAAATCAAATTAAAATCGATTCCCGTATAAATCTAAGGTCAGTGACAAACCAACGTAAAACTTTGCATAGGAATGCATCGATCCACGCTATCACATACACACACATAGACAGACAGACAGACAAACAAAAGAAAACAACATATAAAGATTTTCAAACTCAGCATGGATGACTAAATCCGTAAATTGCGTGAGAGGAACACAAAATTTGATATTAAGAATTACATATATATATATATATATATATATATATATATATATATATAAGAAAGCTGATCGACTGATTGTCGTAAAGTGAAAGGTCATAAATAACTGAAAAATGCTTAACGAAACTCATTTAAGCAAACATAGTGGACATGTGACTCATTCACTTAAACACTTAGTTTTCAATCGGTGGGTTGGGTGGTCGACTCCCGTTCCACCTACTTCAGCCTAGGCAACTGCGTAGTATCATCAACCCTTACACGACAGGTGTGGCTTTTAGCCTGGTATATGAAAATCTGTTCCAGGTGATTGGATTCCACCCTAAGTAAACTCGTAACTTACTTTATCTAATAACTGTCTGATCAAGATATTTTTTTAAAAGAGCTGCCAGAGACAAACATGAGAAGAAATTAAGAAAGGCGAACCTCAAGAGTTCTGCTACTACATGTTGCCAAGGCTGCTGGAATCTACATTAAGAAGCCTAATCTACGTATCCAAAAGAAGTTGGTTCAGATGCTTTCTTTACACCACTGGCCATCAAGGTTTTAACTACCCTTAATTTGTTGTAGACATTTCCTTAATTTTGATTGATGTTCTATTTACTATTACATTTTTATGCTTATAAGTTAAGTGTCTGTCTTGAACTGTAATTTCAGTGATCTTAACAAATCGACGGTATTTAAAAAAACACCAATTTTGTCAACGGCGGTTATTCTAGAATATTCTATGTTTAGTAAAGTGGAAAGTGAAAAAATACAGAGGTATTCAGTTCACTGAGGTTGATTTCCATGTTTTCCCCTCCCCCCCCCCCACCAGTCCATGATATTCAACATTCTACTTATCGTAACCCAGAAATACAGATTCACTAAAAATCGAGTCCAATTAATCAGTCACAATAACCTTGTGTTTTTTTTATTCAGATTTTTTGCATATATCATTCTTCAAAACATCTGACTTGCAGCTAATCACTTTAAGACTCGAACATGTACTGTTATAGTCTGTTTAAACTACCGGGTTATCTAATTTTCTATCCATCAAAACGCATTTTATTTACTCCAATTTCATGTTGTTTTAATTATTATTCAATTACACCTTTGAATCGTATAATCTGTACTCAAGCCAATTTTCAAATAGGTTTCACAATCTACCTAGTGTTGTGAATTTTTCGTAGAAAATGGATGCAAAGCATTGCAGGTTATTAAAGCGTGCTTCAGGTAGAAAAACATTAATTTGAATGATGTAGCACCAATTATTAATTGCTTGAAGATTCCACATAAGCAATGAATACTATTCAGAATGGGTTTTTTTTATTCCTTCACGTTCCCTGTGGAACATAGGGCTTCAAGCTAGAGGCTCGAAGTTTCTGTAGCAGTGGTGTTTACTTTTACGGGATGGAGCTGCTAACCTCATGCCCAACCTTCCCTCTTTGCCAGTTCTATTACTGGATTAGCGAGGTAAAGGAGTGCGTCGACCGGGGATCAAATCCCGGACCACGTGCATGGTAGTGCATGGAGCGTCCTAACCACTGTGCCACCGACACACTATTCAAAATGGTACATACTGATAATTCTATGTTATATACGAACATATTTTCTCAGGATAAGGCTATTATTCTTATTACTAGTCATATCTTAATAATTGTATCGATACAGATCAGATCAGGCTGACAAACTTAACTCAAATTTTTAGGCGCACATAACATACCAGCGGATCTGACAGTCTTAGCTAAGCTTTGATAGAAAAAAAAATTGAAATGACACTTTGAAAGGAAATTCCAGTAGACTAGGAATCACAGTCAAGTGTGTGTTACTCAACAACCACTTGTATTTTTATACAATTACCACATTGTGCGAGGGTTAGTAATACTATCTGGCTGCCTCAACCTCCAAAGATACAGCAGGGTTCGAACGCGCAACCCTGTGAATGGCAGTCATGCGCACCACTACAATCTACAGGTTCATCACACAAAACTAATTCAAAGGAACAATAACTGCAAGCATTTAAAATTGAATAATAATTTCCAATAGGAGAACAATGATAATAGACCTGGTTGATAAAAAGTGCTATTAATACATTGATAAACATAAATTATGAACAACTATGGGCGTCCGCATATTCAAAGCAACATCGATCAGTGTAAGGAAAGAGTTATGACTACAAAACTAACAACAACGACTTATAGTGTGTTTTCTACAACCAGTCTTGTTATTCAGTCGAAAAAATTCACATCTAAGCAAAGTCTTTTGATGATTAACAGAGAAAATATTTCAAGAAACATACATATTATTCTATTAAAAGATAGTGCATGTTGACTTACTTTATTTAAATTCTTGGCAAAACCATCTGAATCATCAAAGATTGGAGTTATATGAACAATCTTCACTTTTGTACCTTTTTGGGGTGTGGTTTTTGCACTATTAGCAGTAGTATTAGTAGTATTTTCATTCTGTTCAATGTTTGTTTGAGTCCCCTCCTGATCTTTATTTTTATCATCATCACCACCATCGCTTTTATCATCTTCTTTTACATTGATTTCTTTAGCGACAGATATTTTTGTGAATACATGTCGACCATTTCTGGCTAAACGTGGTACACCAAAATAACCATATGCAGCCAATAGTTGTGAATTAATATAATCTAGGCTAACTGCAGTTACATTACTGCACAGGTTTCGGGTCCTATTAAAAGGATCTAAATAAGAAAAATGAAAACCAAAAAGATAAAGGAAAGAATGATTGATTATCGCTTGCAGAGATACACTCAAAAAAACATACAGACACAGGTCATCGTAGCATCCAGGCGAAGGTTGCAGCAACTGAAGCCGAATCAGGGCCCAAGGCACAGTGACTCACAGTCAAGTGCAAAAGACAATGAGACACACTTTCACCTCTTCTAATCAGTGAACTTTAGTATATCACACAGACAAAGAGACCTAGGATTTGGATAAAGTAGGTTATTTTGAAACAAAATGAGAGAAACATAAAACTGTTTATAATGAGGACACTTCAGGCATATCTCAAGCGTTTTACAGTTTCAGTTTTCATAAATATGTAATATGTCAACATCTATGAATACTCTAGTTGACTAAAAAACAAAAACAACAGCTCAATGTCCAGTAGGTTATTATAAGACTAATCCACTTCGACAAATTTTATTCCTACATGTCAAAAAAAGCTTCACATAATCTAGATTTACTTTCACAGTGAGCGTCTTATGCCTCTGAACATGACTTGTTCAGATTATTTATCAGGAAATGTTTAAGTATTTCAATTGCCTTATTCATTAAACATACGAATTAGTAGAACTTAGATTTCATGGGCAATTGAATCGAGTCCCAATGGCTGAATGGTCTACGAGCTTGCCTTGTAACCAACCAGAAGGTCCTGAGTTTGAAACCCAGTGGGTGCGTACTGTCGATATAAGTCCCAAACTAGTAAGAAACAGCTGTCCAGTACTCCCTAGTTTACAATGGTTATATCTAACTGATATCAATCCGTGGTCAAACTCGTATAAACATACTCTCCCAGTTTAAAGTAAAAACGAAATTATTGATTCTGTATTCACTTGGATTCACACTATGACTGATGACACTACCTACATTATATCGACGTAGTTTAGTCCCAGGATTAAAGGACAAGCAACTACAAAACTCATTTTGAACTCAAATCAATAATACATACACACACAGAGGCACACAATTTACCGGATTTTAAATCTTCGGTACTATTCAATGTCTACTGGGTTTTGTTTTTTCTCTCTTGCAAATCCAAATATATATATTTTATTGTATGTCAATATTTTGCCTTTAGGCAAGGTGTTGTAACTTATACAGGATGTTCTCTAGTTTAGCATTTCACACTATTCCAACCGTTTGCATAATAATAACAACAACACGTGTTACTTATGATCTGGTGTCGAAGCCTATATACCCTAAGTGTTCAGATGCATTCAGATTCAATTTCATTTAGCTATGCAATACTACTATGAGTGCACAATTAAAATTTACGTTATGATCATTGAGCATAGAGAGTGGTGCTTCAAGTCTTTAGTTTTATTAACAGAAAACAAAGAAACAAGGAAATTAATAAACTATTTACCATTGAAAGACGTTTCAGCCTGAAGATGAGAAAGTTTGTAATGAATTTTAAACTAGCCTAGAGTTACATTACAGTTAGTTAGGTTAAAAGAGTAAACATGATATTCTGATGACTGTAACCAGAACTATCTCATTTATTTTACTGAAGAATGGAAATTGAATATTTTCAAGATTAAAGATAGTGATTTCATTATGAGCTGATATTGGTTAGAGAACCACTGGAAAACCTGAGAGTACTGGACAGCTGTTTCGTCCTAGTTTGAGACTCTTCATCAGTACGCACCCACCGGGGTTCGAACCCAGGACCTTCTGGTTACAAGGCTAGCGAGCTCGTAGACCATTAAGCCACTGGGACCCGATCCAATGGCCCATGAATTCTAACCTCTGCCAATTCACGATATAGCGCGACCGCTAGTCAATATCTTCGGCGAGTATTTGTCCTCACACCCGACCTGCTGCACCCTACTGGTCACTACTTCTCACTAGAACCCCAGGTAACTGCCTACCTACCAGGTTTTCCAATGGTTCTCTAACCAACGTCAACTCATAATGAAATTCTGTAACCAATCAACCAAATCCCTACAAACCAATACTTGAATGTTGAAGATAGTGAGTTCCAACTTATGATCGATCGATAGATCGCTTTAAAGTGTACTCATCACTCAATCAAAACATTTTGAGTTGGTACTTTTACTTTGTTTACTGCATTGAATGACGTAACTTTGTAACAATACTAATAATAAGGAGTTCATCTTCATATTACTCATACATTCACAATTAATACTCAAGACAATATAAATAAATTTACAAAATCAATAAGCCACGATTCACATGTATTGAATAGACGACTACTTACCAATAACTGTAAAATAACGTTTTGCACCACTAGACTTTGAAACTGGTTGTGATCGCATAATATCAATAGCACATGAGGACATTTTAAAGTCGAATAAATAAAAACGAAGAAAACCAAGCCATAAATCAGCTAAACTGGGTAACTCGCAGGATGAAGATGAATCAGTAACTATAGTGTGAGATAAAAAAATCGAAAAAAAGAAAGAAATTACATACATTTTTATTGGCCTTCGAAATATAGATCAGAAACGGAAAGTTATACTATACATGTATAATTGTTCCCTCGGGAACATAGAGCTTCAACAGCACGTCTCCACTTTGTTCTATTCTCAGAGGTCCTTATAAGCTGGTGCTGCCAAGTCGCATCGCTTCTTCAAACGATCTCTTTTATCTCATCCTCGGACGCCCCACTCTCTTAGTTTCCCATTCAGGTTCTACTCGAGTGATATCACTCAACGATCTCCTCAGAGTGTGTCCCATCCATTTGTACTTTCTTCAGCATATTGGTTGAATACACAGATATATAACGTCTAAAATATATGGTTAAAAAATTACGACTCTTACAAAGACTACGCTTATATACGGTCATCATTTATTGCACCTCTCCAAAACGAATAACTAACTACATATCCTATGATATATAACATAATCATAATCAATACCGTTGACATTAAATAGAGACAGAGAGAGTTAGAGACAGAAGTGCGCGTACCAAAATGAATTACATGCAACTAAAAGCAAAATTAGTCGTCTAAATACAACGTTAACATTTAATTGGTGGATGGTGACTAGCAGTGGAATCCGCGACAACGCGCATTTCGTCCTATTCGGGACTCGTCAGCTAACTGGATACACCTGCATTCCTCAGTCAGTGATGATGTTCCCACTGAGGCTCAAAGACAGTGCCCATAGTTTTAAACGCCAAGGCGTTATCCACTAGACTAATTGGACCACGAGAGCCACCTCTTGTGCAACCGGTCATATTAATTATTTAACTGAATTTTAGATTTTCCCGTCGATTGATTGGACCGAAGTGCTCGGTCTCAGGTTGACATGTCGGCTTCTTATGCAGATGCTTCGACGACGTCTGAACACTTAATTAGTATTTAGTTGGTGGATGGTGACTAGCAGTGGAATCCAGGATGCGCACAAGAAGCCGACATGTCAACCTGAGACCGAGCACTTTGGTCCAATCAATCGACGGGAAAATTTAAAATTCAATTAAAACAACGCTAAAATGTTTGGAGGAAATATTGTTATTTACCGGTTCTAATTAAATAAATGTTGAACAGTGTTTTTTGCTCTTACAAAATTAGAAGCAAATTCGGTTCAATGATTACATGTCTCACTACACACTTCCAATTTTCGTTACAAACACCAACTAATTCATTTTTTCTATTTCCAAAGACAAAATTGTGCAGCTTCACGAATCGAAATCAGATTTAGAAAATAATATTCAATTTTAAAGAATAGTGGAGTGAAAATAGCATAGTATATGTGGCACGGCGGTGGAATGCTTGCCAACCATGAAGGTGACTCGGGGTTCGATCCCCGGCTGACGCACTCCTTTACCTCGCTAAGCCAGTAATAAGAATGGTAAAGAGGGAAGAGTGGGCATGAGGTTAGCAACCCCATCCCGTAAAAGTGAACACCACTGCTACCGAAACTTCGAGCCTCTAGCTTGAAGCCTTATGTTCCACTTGGAACGTACATGAATAAAAAAATATATACGTGGCACGGATAGATATGAAAAAGGCACGATAAGAAAAGTAAGACGCATCATTAATCTGAAATCTGTTTGGAAATATGCTACACTCAGAATAAGGAACGAAATTCGAGTTTTCAAAACTAATGTCAAGTCACCGCTTCTACATGGTTGAGAGACTTGAAGAGCGCACCATGCAAAGGATTTCCAACAGGCTGTTACAAACTTTCATCGACAAATGCCTTTGCTACATTACTAAAGATCATAAGACCGGCGAGAAAGGATAAGCAATAGAGAATTGTGGCAATGAACGAAACAGCAAGCTATTGCTGGCCCAACAAATATGAGGAAGAAAATGGAGATGGACTGGACACACGCTAAGGAGACTACAGTGTGTGATATCACATTTCCGACAAGTCGTTGAATGGGATCCTAATGGTAAGAAACGATTTCGGCATTGGTCCGAAGGCGATAATGGAAGAGATCAGGTGAGGGGGAAATGTAAGCTTATGGACAGTGGTACAGCTAGCCAAAGAGGACCGAAGAAACAGGATGCAATGGAGGTGTGCTGAGGAAGCCCTATTTTCTACACGGATCCCCCAAGGGAACAATAGTAATAATAAAAGTAAAAAGATATATTACATAAGGACGCGATATTAATGGTTGGATGAAAAATTGGTAAAGACAACAGAAACCTTAAAATGTTTCTTCACAATAACAAGGGAGTCTTACATGGTTTATCGGGACACAAGCTTCGGATTAATTCTATGTCTGTAATAAATGACAAATCGCCATCCGGCAACAGGACCTAAGGAAGAAAATTTAAAACCAAAAAAATTAAGCGGTTATGTTCATAATGTACATAACTTGAATAACTATTGCAAATAGATCACATCATCAAATTCAAAAAAGAAAAAATAGTTCCGCGTCTTTTACGCTACATTTGAACTAAACATTTGGTATTTCTAAAATTGAGAAAAAACATAACTTGACGCCATCACTTATAAGTTCTTGTATTACAAAAAGAGTTATACCTATTTTTTTGACGACCGACAACAAATCTCAGCTTTAGTGAAGGTTTCAAATCTGCAAGTCTTCGGGTAACGAGAGAGACTCAATCCAAATGTAGAATGTCTTACTAAAGTGCAGCACATCAATTTACCACACTACATATAGTACACAAAGGTAGAGAAAAGGAGAAAAACTCAGAAGAACCAGAATGAGCAGAAATGTACAGGAGAAAGGACAGTAACATGGGAAAATACGAAGAGTGAATGCATCTGAGCTATCGGGAAAGATTTTGAGCGATTTCATCAACAGTCCAAATTCAATGGTTCTTAGAGTCCCCAAGACTCCAATCACCTATGTAGCTAACACTAACAGTCCAAGACTTCATGCACTGCACTGGCCCCAGGATTCTCTATTTGACTACTCGTAACTCTTTCTCTGATAATCATATGGGAATAAGCTTGGCTTAGAATTCTAGGGTCAGTGATTATGTGTGAACTAAGCAGCGTTCAGGCGGAAAAACGTACAATCCAGGCAACAATTAGGCTTGGAAGAGGGTGTATTGACAGCATCCATACACTTCAACAGATTCTGGAATACAGGCATATTTACCAGTGTCAAATAGTTGTCTTGACTTGAAAATGACGTCCCACATTCTGTCGACCGAGAAGTATGTTTAGTGAGGCTATTTTATATTTATATTATAACAGAAGTCAATAAGTGAAAGGTGTAAAGAATAACACTATTACACTCACTACAGTAAGAAAAACGGCATCCCTACTGAAACTTCAAAAACAGGAGAGAAAATATGAAGCTCTGTTCCACTCGGAGAACGTAAATGTAAATGAATTAAGGTGAAAGTGAAGTGAATCATAACAAAATATTTATGAGATGTAATCGATACAGGCTAAAAATAAATCATCAATATAAAGTGTTTTTTTTAAAATCAGTTTAACTTACTTGATGATACGAATCTTGTGGAATATTACCCATATGCTGACGATATAAATTATGTAGATTAGGAAGTATTGATGGATCGCAGTGTTGTAAGTAGAATATAACCAACATGGGAATAATTGGTTCAGCGAATGTACCATTTTCAGGCATATCTAAATGAGCCAACTATTAATAATAAATAAAAAAGGAGGAGGAGAGTACACACACACAATGATTAATATATATGAGAACACGATAAGAAATAAGATAAATTATTGGAAAAGAAAGTATCTTTTTCTTCACTGGTCATTATTGCCTATTATTAAAGACACTAGAAATAAACAAATTAAAAATAAAAATTAACGGTCAACAATATATATGGATGATATCAAGTGTTGGTTTGCAGGGCTTTGATTGATTTCGAATTGATAGCGTGTTCACTGAGCTGGTTGGTTTAATCGCAAAGCTTTCGTCCTTTCGTCTAGACAACATTTTCAGCACAGGTCTTAGTATAAAGTGGACTTATTTAAATTCTTCATGAATGATCTAATTGTATCTCCTGGCAACCACTTTTATGACTGGATGTTAATTTACGTCTCTACTGATCATATTTTTATTGATTTGGAATATTTCAAGTCAATAAAAATATCAACCAGTTCAGAGAACACAATTAATTCAATGTCATCCACCTGAGGTACAAATCTTCTCCATGATTTGATTGGTTACAGGTTCCATAATGGTGTGATATCAGTTAAAGAAACATTGAAAACCAGGGACTACTGGACATTATTATGTCCCAGTTTGGAACTCTCTTCAGAAGTGGTAACCCACTGGGGTCCGAACCCAGGACCTTCCGCTTACAAGGCGAGTTCGTAGACCATTCAGCCACGGGGACCCATGGAATTCCAACTTGTGCCAATTCGCGATATACATAGAACAACTGTCAGCCAATGTTATAGGCGAGTAACTCATCATACATTGGACCGGATCCCAGCGGTTGAATGCCCCATGAACTCACCTAGTAACCGGAATGTCTTCGGTTCGAACCCCATTGGTGGGTTCTGATGAAGAGTTCGTAACTAGAAAGAAACAGCTGTTCAGTATTCCCAGGTTACCTAATTGTTCCCTCATTGATAAAGGATAGTGTACGCGAGTGTTTCAATTTTGTTGATAAAAATGATAGATACGAACTCCATATTACAACAAAACGCAGGTTATGAATTCCACTACATGAAATAATAATATCAATTTTGATCACAAATCGACTTCAATTAGAGATGTAATGAAAAGTCCTGGGTTCGATCACTGAAGGTGGGGGGGTTTGTGGGTGCGTACTGTTGAAGGGTTCTAAACTTCGACGAAACAGGTGTTTGGTATTTCCTGATTCGCAATGCTTTCCTAACTGATATCGATTCGTGATCAGCACTGAAATCAATCAAATCCTTGAAAACCAACACTTGAAAATAATGACACATATATGTTCACTCAATCACCTGTGTTAATATGCTTCATTTTTACCGAACTTAAAGTCAATCGGAAACACCTGATATCATAGTCATATGCCGTCATATAAAATATCTAACTGAATTCAGGATTTACACGATTTATAATATCACCTTACAAAAATTGTCACATCACATGTTTAAATAAACGACAAGCAAAATATCTGTACATGAAAAAACTCATGCATTACTATTATTGTTATTAGGATTAATTATAATCTGAATTCATTAAATTAAAACTGCTTTTTTGAAGAAGAAGAAACAACGAATAACCCACAAAATTTAACCTCATTGATCATTAAACACAGAGATAATCTGTGACATTAGACCACAATATTTGTTAAATACACTTAACTCTGAATGTCATAACACTTTATGGAACTCTTCAGCCATGCACATTCACGAACCACCCACCCCACTAGAGATCGAACCCAGGACCTTTAGATTACGAGACCAAGTTCGCTGAGCATTTAGCAGCCAGTTGGGCCAGAATTCAATGACTTGTGAATTCCAACTTTATCAATTCATGGTATAGTGCCACCCTAAACCAATGCCTTCGGTGAACGTCTACTTAGCCCTGGTATAGTAGATCCAACTGGTCACCACTTCTCGTTAAAGCTTCAGGATATCTTTCCAGTAGCCACTGATGCACCAGAGATAGATTATTTAGACTATGAGTTTCTGTAGGGATTATGGTTAATTTCAATGTAGATTTCGTCAATAACTAACACCAATTAGAGACCACTGAAAACTAGAAAGTACTGGACGGTTTGGAAACCTTCAAAACTAGGTGCTTCAGGTTACGAGACCAAGTTTGTTGACCACTCATCAGCCACTTGGGCCTGAATTCAATGACCCATGGATGGATTTTAACTTCGTCATTTGTTAACTAAATTTTGATTATTCCCCTGAAGAAGATGGGACAAGTTTGCCAAACGAAACGTTGAATTTCATGATTTCAATTATACAAATATAATTTTTACGCATATGTTTTAGAATGTACTAAGTTTAAAATATGTAGTCAACAAGAGAAATTCTATTTAACACACACACAAACAAACACAAGGCTTTTATAAGCATATTCAACACAGATCAACATACACTCAAAATCAAATTCCGTATAATTTGATGATGAATATACTTCAGATATGAAAAATAATTAATGTTCATATCGGGGGTCATTTAATGATATGCATTAAGAATGAATAATCAAGAAATACTTTGCAAGATAACGTGATGATGATAATGAATTCATGTTGAAATCAAATTTCTTTTCATATTTCTATATATGATATGAGAATTACAATCCAGTGTTATAGCATACTACCAGAGATTGTGCAACTTATTGACCGATTATCCTGTGCAAAATCAGTATCGGTGATCTTGTTGCACAGTATTACCTTCTGCTTGACTTTGTGTGAGCAGCAGAAATAAATACAATCGAAAGTAATAAAAGTACTTACTTAATATTATTATTAAGTCAAACAAGTTAACTGAAAGAAAAAATAGTGTATTGTATTGTTGAGAATGCTGTGTAATATGAATTGAATCAATTAGAGAACCACCGGAAAACCTGGGAGAAAACCTGAGATTCATGAGCCATTGGATCGGGTCCCTGTAGCTAATTGCCCTATGAGCTAGTCTTATAATAGGCTCGAAAGGTCACCGGTTCGAACTCCGGTTGGTGCATGCTGATGAGAAGCCCCCAAACTAGGAGGAAACAGCTGCCCCAGTAGTCCCCGATTCTCCAATGGTTCTCTAACTGATGTCAGCTCATGATCAAACTTGTAACCAATCAAATCCCAGCAAACCAACGCTTGAAAAATATGAATAAATATAAGATAACGATAGGGAATAACTCTGAAACAGACAAAACAAAAGATAGAGTAATTCGAGTTGACACACGCCTAATGTAAATAAAAAATTAAAAAATAAAACGATATTTGGTGGTGTTAACACTTGAAAAGACTAGAACACTAAATAAAGTTTGCTCCACTCTAAACAATACTGTTATACAAGAGACTAACGAAGACACTTCTGATAATTTACTGAAAGGAAAGCCCTATACTTTTATAACTAAAGATGAGGAAATTATGTAGCCATGACAAATAAGTATTATTCTTTTGTACGGTAAATGTGTAGGTCTAGGTTGATAGTGTGAAGCTGAACTTTATTTTTAATAAAGGCTACCATCCACCTATGAAAAAATATCACTTCAGAACAAGTTGATTATATTTCAAAATACTTCTCATTTCATTGGTAAATAAAAAGGTAACCATAGCATTGGTTTTGTAAGGAGTTAAATACCAAATGATTAGGCAGAATGAACTTAGTCCTTTCGTTTATAAATATTTTCAACTCTTACCTATTTATTTCCGCACATTTAAAGAAACACGACAGAAAAGTGAACTGATCTACCAGGAGACTAGCAAAAATGTTACAAAGTGAAATGAAGGTAACACAGAATAAGGGAAGTCGAACAAAACAAAAAGGAGAAAAAAGCAATCAAATATAGAAAACAAGAGAAGTCAGGCGCACTGTGACAGAGTAACTTTACTGGGTTTTATAAAACATAAACTACACAATTTAATGTTTATTAAATGGGTTAGCATAAAAGTAGGAAATAGCACAAAATGAACAGTGCTTCAAGAAGCTGGCAGTTATCGATAAAATTTAATGGGAAGATAGTCAGTAAAAGTAAAACCACACCAACATGAAAAATTAGGATATGAGGAGCAAAAGACGAAATATTAACAAGTAATAACTATAAAATAAGTAGTATTTAATGAATTCAGACATTTCGGCAGGACACCGTCAGCTGAATACTCTACAGACACTGTCATTTATACAATCCCTTTTCAGGTTTAATACATTACATACAAACACATGAAGATTATGTGATGACAACAAATAGGTATCAACTTCAACAAATATACGATCTAGAAGTGTTGTGAGTGGTAATCTGCTAACATCACTATTAAGTGAATAATGTTCAATAATTTCCAAATTCCCATTCTCATACAACAGAGGCAATCGGAATTCATCTGAACAAGCCAAATGTGTGTGTGTGTTCAAAAGAAATTTGTACAGCCTCTTTCTTTGTCATAGCCAACTACATAATATGTATTAAGTTTTTAAAAACGATTTTTTATCCCTCTCCTTGTAACTATCTCTTGACTTTGTTAATTTTTACAATAATAGCTAATTCCATTAACTTGTTTGTATTTAACGTAATTCTTCTGAGTCATCCTATTCTTCTTAGTCATTATTGCTACTTTACAGATTTCTTGATTATGCGACAACTTGGCGTTAACACCTAAAAATCAACTTATCTTGAATTCCGTAATTAATTTTCAACCCTCCTTTAAAACTTAAATATCTTTTTATTAATATCTATTAGCTAATTGTTTTGATGACTTTTAACTTCTTAAGTTCAACCCCTATACTTAAAACCGATTAACTAAAATAACCACTTGATTGGTAAAACATTTTGATGTAAAAAAAACTATACATTAGTGTAGAGTCGATGATAAGGAACTAATTGAAAAGGAATATATTTCTTCGCTCAATTTGTTGTTTTTTTCTAAATGAATACTATTCACCAAAGCATATATTAACATATAAACTGGAGTTATTGTGATAGAATAAATACAATTATAAACATCTAGATATGATAATCATATCGAAACACACGGGAACTTCGTAATAATCAGAAATCAAGTCAATCGTTTCACTTTCGAGGATATTTGGGGAAGGTGAAATAACAATCACATGATTCCTTCCAATTTACAGTAAAGACTGATGGTGTGAATGCCGATGGTGGTAAGCACTTTGTGTCGTTTGATGTTATTTCACTTTTCACGAATATCCCCGGCAGTGAAACGATCGACTTTATTTCTGATGAAGCAAATGAATGATCTATACCTAAGCATTGTTTGAAGAAGTCACTGCATTTGTGTAGTAAAGAGGTACAGTTAGCGTTCAATAACGAACTGTATGTTCAAACAGATAGTGTAGCGATAGGAAATCCATTAGCGACCCTGTTCGCATATATGTTTCCAGCAAGTTTAGAATATACTTTCTTAAAGGATTGTATAGGAAAAGCTGACATATGCCTGCGGTATATGAACGACATATTCATAGTATGCAGAGATAAGGTCAAAGATGAGATAATGTTAGACGAATTTAATTCATCGATCGTTTCACCGACAGGGACATTCTCGAAAAGTGAAATAACATAAAACAACACAAAGTGCTTACCACCATCGGCATTCACTTCAGCAGTCTTTACGGTAAATTGGAAGGAATCGTTGGATGTTATTTCACTTTTCACAAATATCCCCGTAAGTGAAACCATTGACTTTATTTGTGATGTTGCAAATGAATTTATTTTATTTATTTATTTTTATTCTGATTTTTACGCAGTCCCCCTGTATTTAAATGTTATCATCATATCTAGATGTTTATAATTGTACTACTTCTATCACAATAACTCCAGTTTATATGTTAATATATGCTTTGGTGAATATTATTCACTCAATAATAACGTTAACAGATTATCACTCACAAAACTAATAGATCGTATATTTTCAAGTATTCGTTTTGTAGGGATTTAGTTTGATTGCATGGAGGATTTCATCATGAGCTGACACTGGCGACTGGCCCTATTCAGGCAATTAACCTGGGGTTCTAGTGGGAAGCCGTGACCAGTAGGGTACAGCAGGTTGAAGATGAGGCAGTAACTCATCGAAGAAGACATTACAAAATGGTCACGCTGTGTCATGAATTGGCATAAGTTAGAATTCAAGAACCATTGGATCGGGTCCCAGTGGCTTAATGGCCTACGAGCTCTCTGGCCTTGTAACCAGAAGGTCCTGGGTTCGAACCGTAGTGGTGGGTGCGTACTGATGAAGAGTCCCAAACTAGGCTGACGAAACAGCTGGCTGTCCAGTACTCCCAGGTTTTCCAGTGGTTCTCTAACTGATGTCAGCTCATGATGAAATCCTCCATGAAATCGTATATTTGTTGGAATTGATACTTATTTGTTGTCTCACATAATGTTCATGTGTTTGTATGTAATGTATTTAACCTGAAAAAGGATTGTATAAATGACAATGTTTGTAGAGTATTCAGCTGACGAGTCCCATCGAAATTTATTAAATACATTTTTGGAATGTGTTATTATTTATAAAAGGGAATAATTGTTTTAAATAATATTAAATACTTTCTTTTTCACAGTTGTTGCTTGTTTTAAATTTACTACGGGGAAGAAATGTTTTCAAAATATTAACAATATTTCGGAAGAAAGGGCATTTAATATTTGAAATACATACTCTCAATTAATCTCAAAAAAAAAACTCCCAACTTAGTCTCAGTCGACAGTACACGTCAGTCACTACTGCAGGTTTGCAAGTCTTGCTCACTGACTTTTCCCACATGAAGGAAACATTAGTCATTGTAGTGAGGAAAGCTCATTTAGAACTGGTCAACTTTTATTACGCATATAGCGGTGATGGTAACGGTGGAATTTTATAGCATTCTTCGTTAGGATTAGTCTATTTCATCAAACGAGTTGAAACGTGAAATGCATTTAATTGACCATAAAAAAAGTAATCAAATAAAATGACTTTCCAAATATTCATTATGCAGAAGAGGTCTTATCAGTTGTAAATTACAAAAAATTAGAATAATAATCAACGATACACATATAATCATTTTGTCAAAGAATATTTCATATAATATAGATATTTTTGAATGAATTCTTTTATTTTGTATGCAAAAACAAATTTAACTAGACGAACAGTATAAACATGAAAGACTAAATAATGGACTGAAATTTTTAGTATTTTGATGCACAGAATATTTATACTTAGAAATCATGTTTATACAAAAAATTAAACTCACTCTTGCCAATTTTCGAAATAAGATTGAAAGTTGTAGAGCTTTATCATTCAGTTTAAGATAAGTATCAATCAGTTTGGCCAGATCGTATCCATGTGGATGACCCGTACCTATATGATACGCAACACCGTGGAGATCCGTCAGGGAAAGGTAGAAGGTATCTGTATTCGTTCGTAGGACACTGTTCAAAGCAATACAATATGCATAAATGCCTACCAACATTATTATATGATCATATATGGATAAATGATGAGTAAGTCAATACATAATAAAAAAAAGTTGAGCATTACTTCTCAAATAAACAAAAGTCAGTTTCGCGTATATAAACGCACTCGGTGAGAACACGTCTTCTAAAGGGCAGACACTATATATAACCAAATACACTAGAATAATAATTGTGTTTAAATGTTAATACACTTATATACCTCCGCGTTTGAGTAGCTCGGAAACATATCGTACGCCGATAACATTTTAACTAAAACTAAAAAGTTTTAAAATATTCTAATGTGTAACAGAAGGGGACACAGTATTACAATAGCACCAGAGTAGAAATCCTGCCCACCAATAGATGTTATCATGATGTGATTGTCGACCTTGAAAGTGCTGTTGGCCTATTATTTGTTGACGCAATGTCTATCACATTACAACGGTTGAGAATATACTAACAAGTATTAATGTCACGGCAGAGTCATACTTCTGGTGGAGACGACGACACAGTTACCTTCATACGACTACATAGACATCGATATCCCACTCCTAATCCTCAGAAACAGGTTCGCGAATTATCCACCCTAAAAACTATGCATTACGACTAACCTCACCACAGTGTACAGTCGGAGGTTTAGTTTGTCGTGAGGACGGGACTTGAGAAATTTTCATATGTTAAGACTTACAATATTCATAAAGCGAAAACTACAGACCTTCTCCACTGAGTGAAATATAAACGCAAAACTTTGCACAAATGTGCTTCATTTCAAGTTGCCATGCTTCGAAGAAGCACATAAAAGTAAAGGTAGGAAATATAATGGAACTACAGTATATATATATATATATATCACACCAGTATAGGTATTCGATTCCCTATCAAGATATTGCCCGACGGGGCTCAATGCCAAAAGACATTTATGAATGAAACCGAGGTCTACTTATACTAGTGATTCACTACTTAAAAGGTTTCCTGATTTGAATGAAATACATTCTCGACCGTTTGTTACATTAAGTGTAAGTACAATCCCTGAGTCAGTTATACATTTTAAACCTTCACCATAAATTACACACTCAGTGTGGTAGACCGTCACGATTAACAGCATCCTGTTTACACTAATATCTAAATGCTTGCCGATAAAAGTCATCCAAAATCTCACCTTTGTTTAAATCACAGTTCAACTTCTAATAATAAAACTTTAAAACAATAACATCGATATGAAGCAACTATAATTTTTTTTTCACTCCAAGCTATTAGCATAGATTTCAACAGCTAATCCTTTCCATTCGAATTCTATCTGAAATGACTCTGATAAACTGACAGAAAATTAAGATCAAGATTTTTGTAAGTAAGCGCTACATCACATCTGGTGGAAGACAACTTCACACCATTTTTTTCATTCCTTTACGTTCCTGGTGGAGCATAGGGCTTCAAGCTAGAGCTTTGAAGTTTCGGTAGCAGTGGTGTTTACTTTTACAGGATGGAGTTGCTAGCCTCATGCCCAACCTTTCCTCTTTACCAGTTTTATTACTAGCTAGCTTAGCGAGGTAAAGGAGTGCGTTGGCCGGGGATTGAACCCACGATCACCTGCATGGTTGGCGAGCATTCTACCGCTGTGTGACGGACGGAGTGCCAATATAAATCGAACTAATCAGATTGTAGTGTTCTGTTTATCAATCGTAAGGGAAATAACCGAAAACTTTAATGACTAGTTGATCAGATACAAAAACTATAGCATAATCAAGAATGTACTTAATTACTTAAATCAAACAATAGAATTAGTTATCAGTAGAACTCGCCAAGTTACAAAAGCTCAAGGCTAGCTGGGGAGAAATAATTACTATGCAAATAATAATAAAAGACCAATCAAAAATGTTAACATACGTATGAAATTTTGGGAATTTAGGTTCCTCTGACAGCTCGTTAGCTTCAGTCTTGTCACTAGACGATATTGAGTTATGAATATTCTTTTCTGACATTGTAGTGTCTTCAAATTTACTAGTTGGTTGTTCACAGGCATTACATTGTAATAATTCGAAAATGTGTGATAGAACGTAGCCAAGACCCAATGAATTGGCCTTTGCTCGTTTCTCTTCCTCTGTCAACTGACTAGAATCTGACCGAGGGCTAAGAGGACCAGCATTCTCATAATCGATAACCGACTCTTTTGTAGGTGAGGAACATTCATCCGCATCATCCACACGGACAGCATCTAATGATACTTCCATATCTGGTAACGCTAAATTAAACCACACACTGCCAGTTCCTCGCACTCTTATATCTATGATGGGATTTTTAAAACAAGAATCGTAATAAATTGAAATTTAGTGATCCCTCACAAAATAAATGTCAAGTGAAAAAAAATATCGGTTACGTACTTTATTACTGTTCACTGATGCACCCGATAATCTTAACAATGATAATAAAAATTTCAACGTTTCACCCTCAATTGTAACGAACTGACTGATTCATTTATCAACTCAGAACTATGCACAAAAGTGCCTCAGCTAACGTTGATGCATTTAGGAAAAGCAGATTCGTATGCTTACAGATATTCATTTCATTTTTTTAAATTCTAGATTTTCTTTTATCGTGACGCTTAAATCCAAATAAACGAATAACTGTGTGACAATTAACGCTATTTTCCATATATTATTCTGAGGTTATAGACAAGTATACATGCAGTAACTCAAAGCATGCAGATCACGTCGCTACCAATAACTAATGACAGAGATTCTTCAAAAGCTTGTCAGGACACCGGTCACGCCATTCTAAGCAGATTGACGTAAACCCACTGAAATGCACTTACTAATAAAGGCTAAATACAAAGCTATTGAGTCTTCAGAAGTTAAAGATGAACGCTCGTTGCCGTAACGTGCATGTGAGATGGACGTGGCAACGGCATCCAGCAACAGTAGGAAGGAATTCCACCTTGTAAGTCACCGGCAGCCAAAAGCCTCGTGCCAGTGAAGCTATCTCCGAGGCAGATAAACAATCTGCAAAGACGCCAGTAATGCTGGACAAAGGATTTTTCTTATAAAGGATCAAGCTGGCTAACAGCACTATTGACCAATGTTTTAATGTAGAGTGCTACATAGTTGGTTAAAAAGATAGACTTAACTAGGCAAAAGTGTGAAAGGAACTCCTGAATCCAATCACGGGACTAACTAGATTGTTTGAAAAAGGATAGGCGATAAAGAGGTCATAATCGTGCCTGTCTTTTAAAATGGCCTATTTAATGTATGTCACAACCATCACCACATCAGTCTGTCACCAATAGTGTCAAAAGTACTGACTGCTACTAACTTCTCAAACTTTACAAAATGCGTAAAAACCTAATTCGTACAGGACAGGCAGTGTTCCTTTCAGGTCATGCATACACTGATCACTTATTCACTCTCTACCGATCGCTAGAACACAATCACACATATTACACACACATTAATTGTTCTACTGTTGATGTCGCAGTTGCTTCAATTTGTTGGATAGAAATGCTCTTCGAAATCGCCTGTTACTTAGAAAAGGTATATAATCAGAATTCCTAAAGAGTAAGAATGTACAGCCACCAACCATCATTGTTCTCAACCAGTATTTGGGTTAGACAGCGTTGTCCAAAATTGTCATTTCTCAATAACTTCACCGTTGATGATATTTTAGAGACAGCTTATAAAGGTGTGTGGTGGTTTAGGTCTGCCATCTGGAATTAAAAAAACTGTTTAATCATGAGTGAGTATACAGACAGTATTTCACTTGACCAATTTTTTGTCAGCACTGTAAGTATAGTTAGTGAGTAGTTTTCACTGTGTAGGACATGTGCCACGATAGTTATGTGAGTGCTGACAGAAATATGACGGATGACATTTTCAATCGTATAGCAAAAGTCAGAGTGGTGTATACGTCAAGCTCGGTCATCACTGCAGTGTTGATCTAACTGTCAGAAGTTGAGTTTAGGACTCTTTGATGAGGCACGTTTAATTTAGCACTTGTAGAAAGTGGTTCATTTGGGTTAAGTATATGCGACGACTGCGCGTCTGATCGTCGCTATCTACCTAGGACCACTTTCATTGGAGACGAGGGGTGGGGGAGGCACAGAACTATATACTACTAATTGATTGAGATGAGTAGTTGTATACTACTCACAGTAACTAGTAATTCTTGCCAGCCAGATCGAAGCGATCTAAACATCGGACGGCTGAGTTTATCAGCGGTGAACCCCGATTGACGTGAGTGGTACACAACTATTCATCTCAAACAATCAGTAGTATATAGTTCTATGCAATATGACTGGCTTTTTTGATCAGCATTTATTGTATCAAGCAGATCACACATATTGTGATCTGAATAATTTCGGTCTCCCAAGGAAACTTTGGTGAAATTTCACCTCGAAATGAGCTAATTGCAAATTGTGAATTTGACTTATTTCTCGTACTTTTAATTTGTTGTTCGATTATTTTGTGGTGCATTTACTACCGCCTCTGGTATAGCAAGTTTATGTTTACATAAATATATAAGAAATGAAGAAAAACAGGTATTCAGAATATCAGAAGTGAACATTATAACCACATTTAGCTATGACACTTAAACACGCCGAATTTGTCATCTTATAATCCCCGCATATATCGAAATTAGAACATCAAATGACTTCATGAAAGCTCATAAAACATCTTGACTGTGTCATCTTTAGTTACTTTGGTTTTGAATATTCAAACTACTGTCCTCCATAGCCAAAACTTTCACTCTTAATTAAGTACAATGATACTTTGTGACGCATTACTGATACAGAAAAATCACAATAGTAACTCAATACAATACAAGCCGAGAATTCTTCTTGATGTAGATAAAGATGACTAGGATATCTATGTCTGAAATTTACGTTTCTATTTAACAATACCAAAAATATTAATCATATTACGATTGATTTACTTGGAATTCGAGCTTCAATAGCTGCGATAAGATCATTTGCAAAATTTTGACGTCGTTGTATTTCATTTCTGTCGGCTATAACAGAAGCAGTAGACGATTTCAGTGAGGCGTCTAAAGCAACTCTGTGAGACTCCGTGATAGGGGGTAGGTAAAAGAGTGTATGCTTCAATTCAACAGTCTAAAATTAAATCAATACAGAAATGTGAGATAGGGTGTATAATATTAGTTTATTCGCTTCACACAGAAAATGGAGTTTCCTGGAGTTCTAGTGAGAAGTCGTGACCAGTGAGGTCCATCCAGTCGGGAGTGAGGATGGATTTCCCACCGATGACAATGGTTGGTGGTCGCGCTAAATCACGAATTGGTCGAAGTCAGAATTCATGAACTGGACATTGAATCGGGTCCCAGTGGCTGAATAGTATACGATCTTGCCTTGTAACTGGAAGGTCTTGGGTTTGAACCCTGGTGAGTGGGGTACGTCCCTCCGATGAATCCCGAGCACTAGGATGAAACAGTTGTCCAGTACTCCGTGTTTGTTTTCATTGTGGTTCTCTAACTTATATCAATTTGATATGATGCTTATGAATAACAAATTGTGTTCAAAATATCAACCAGTAAACAATACTGTTTCAGTGTGTTATATATATGTTATTTATCCAATAAACAAAAATTACTATGGAATTTCATAATAACAAAGCTTTTACTGTTAAGTTATCGCACTCCATACAATCTTGTCCATGCTTTATCAGCTCACCTTTGGGATTCGCATAAATAAACAGAGCTTGTGTCCATAAGAAATTCATACAACCTCTTTTGTCAGGTTTGAGTATTCAATCGACCTAACACAACGTTAGAAAAACGTGTTTCTTACGAGATGTTGTTTTATTATTACTTCACAACTTTAGCTACTTTATGAACTTTGCGTGTTTTTTTTAAACCTTAAATTATTTCAACGCAATCACTAGTGGACGAAAGTACTAACTCATTCTCATTTTTCAACCTTACACCAACCATCTACCATCCCTAAGTGATTCAGTTACACTGAGACACACGCACATAACCTTACCGCACTTTCTCCCCCTGTTTTTATTGACACTATTATTCATCCATATGAAGTTTATAATTAATATGAATACTAATCCTGAGCAATCAGTAATACATGTTCGATGAATTCATCATTCTCCACTTTTGAAATCTGTGGTTCAATTTAGTGTTACATTTATGCATATTATCAGACAGCCTCCAAAGCCTCAGGATGGTCGGGGGTGGGTGCCTTGCGCTGCGGGTTAGCCACCCCTCCGCACACCTCTTGAAATGCTCCCATATGACCGGGCGTCTTACATAGCCTCTCCTGAGGAAGTCCTACTCACTGCCTTCACGTGGCGGAGGTGTTTTTCACCAAAGTGAGAGGGCGAAAGCGGATGCCCGGCGCTCTTCACCGGGTTGACTGTCCATTGGATGACAGTCTAGGGGAGATGGCTAAACCCTGATTCCAAACCTCCAACGACTGGCGTATGAAGCTCACTGGAGCTCACCGGCAGACGTATGGACAAAGGGCTTGTTGGATGTCCTGGATGTCTGGCCCCATTCAAAAAGGCGTATGAACCGAACTCCGGTCACCGGCTGCCAATGGATAGTGGACTCCCTACTCCACTCCTACTGCCTTGTAGGTCACACTTGGTTGTGTAAAGGCTAGAGCTGCACTCTCAAACAAAAGGCTGAGCGATTCTGGGGACATCACTCGTACCAAATTCCCATGAAACTTCATGAACTCTCAGTACAGTCAAGGCTGATATGGAGTGCCTGGGGCTACAAACCGTCTACGGAATCCGTCTGTGGAACAAGAATTGGATAACCCTGTCGCAAAACCTTACATCAGATCGCCGCGCCTGGGCAGCGATGATTCGAGATGTTCATGAAGCCGGCTCATCCTCCCGTAGGAGATAGCCGTAGTAAATTTTAAAAAAAAAATTAATATTATCAGACACACACACACATGTTTTCAATTATAATGTATCGACAATCTATTCGCATAGAACTCTTAGAATTTTGATGTCGTTTAAAATAAACACTAATGTTACCGGTAACAATCATTCTTTCATTATAATGGATAATAAAACTGTAGAATCTGAGGAAGAAATCATCGAGAATAACATTCTTTGTCCACTAACCAACCTAGTGAAATGTATAGTGGGCACCATTCATCAATTAAAATATGTAATTACTTTTACTTCTGAACTACCCCAATGACATCATTAATATAGACAACTTTTTATGAGATAACTTATCACCACCAGATTTGCATAATATGTCCTAATTAGAAAACGCTACGTATTAGTGCACAGCCATTTGGGGGGGGGGGACAATTTAATTGGAAAAATAATTTTTCTCCACACTACGAAAAAGGGATACGTTCTGCGAACTGGCAGAAGTTGGAATCTATGACCACAGGATCAGGTCCCAGTGGCTAAATGGTCTATGAAAGATCCTAGGTCTGGACCCTGATGGGCGGGTACTGATGAAGAGCCTCTCCCCGGTTCAAACCCGTAAAGATAAGTTTCCATTGTGTGAGAAGTAACTACACTATAGCACTTTCCAGGAGAAAATATCGAAACTTGTTGTTGTTTAGAATTCAGTGTTAATATTACTAGTCAAGTCAAAATACTTGAAAGTTAGCGGAAGAAAATTACGTGCATATTAAGTATTTTAAGTATTGGAAGCTACAAATCTATTATCATTGGCTGGTGTGAAGAATAAATAACACATTAAACATATGCAGCTAATAATGCAATTTAAAAAAAAAACAAAATAAAATTAGCACTTACTGTAACATTGACATTATGATAATTCATGGAAGTGTGATGAATAGCTGCACCAACAGTGGTCATCGAAATACCACAAGCGTTGCATACTAATTCATACTTCTACATACAAAATCAAAAGTGTAAATAAAAGCAATGTTCAATGAAAAGTGGGCAGCAAATACAATTAATCGTGAAATAAAACGAGATGAATTATTAACAGAGATAGTGAATCTAAAGGTGAAGTTATACTTCTGGAGGAGACGATGAGACAGTATAAAGATGTTACCACCATACGACTACAGGCTCATCAGTATCCCTTTTCTAATCTTAAAAAACAGGTTCGCAAAATGTCCTTCCTAAAAATTATGCATTACAACTAGCTCTTCTACAAATGTTACAGTTTCTACTTTCAACAGTGACGACTCAGACAGGTAAGTTTGTACGGAGAGAATTGCTGGATAGCCAAATATCATGTCGACAGTAGAGATGATGAAAGGTATCAAAATAATCACCTGAGAGGTTTGGATAAAATTTTGTAGATTCACAATATTGACCAGGTGGAGTTAAGTGGATAAACATACTTCGGTCTTCCATGCACATAAAACTCGAGGTTCCAAACTTTTAACAAGTGAAGTCTGTTATCTAATTTAACATAACGTCCGGATGTCAGTAGTTCTAATATGAAGTTCAAACCGTGGTTTCTCTCGCCTCAGACATCAACAATGGTCACCATGTCAAGAGAAGGTGAAGGGAATGTCTGAGGAATAGCATTAGCAGTGTGGTGAAGGGAAGAAAATCAGGCTAGGTGTGTGATAAACAAAAAAAGCTTGTTTGACAATAAAAGCGTACGGGTTGTTGATACTTTACGGCTGTTCAAAATGTGGTAGTTAATTTTTCCCCTGTTAACAATCTACACCACTATGATGGTAACCGCTTTTAGGCTCATTAGGTCATTGTCTCAGGGTGGCAGCTATTAGTCGAGTAGAATATAAGCATTAAACTTTCTAACAAAGATGGGGACTGAACTCTTTGAACCAATGTGTTAAATTTGGAATCACATTACATGGGAGGATATATAATACTTGACTGCAATAATTTCAGCAAACTTAACTAATGTGTTTAATTCCTTCTACAAGACTTAGGTCAAAATTCTTGCAGACACTTCCATGACAAACATCCTTAACACATTCGTCGGTAACAGTTATCTGTACACTTTTCGTAGGGTTGTGGTAACGAAAAAACTATTTTAAAATAAAGAATGTCTCTAAACGAAGCTAAAATATACGGCTTAATCATTTCATTAGCAACAAGCTATCTTTCTACGCCTAAAGATAAGGCGGTTGTGTTCTTTTCAGTTTACAAAAACTCACTCGTTTTGATTTATGCAGTTCTAAAAAGATATGATTCATATTCAAGTAATTCAGTTTTTCTGGAGGTATTCCTGGAATGAAAGACAGAAACAATGAAGGAAATAAATGTACATCAACATGAAGATAATCAGTAACGAAAAACAAAAACAACTCGAAAACACTCAGATTTCAGTCAGTTCATTGCTAAAGCCTCTAATCACAACAGTGAGTAAATCAGGCTTGAATTTTTAAGAAAGATTGAATTTTTAGGTATTGGTTTGTAGGGATTTGATTGACTGGTGACAGGATTTCATTATGAGCTGACATCGGTTAGAGAACCACTGAAAAACCTAGGAGTACTGGTCAGTTGTTTCGTCAGCCTAGTTTGGGACTCTTCATCAGTACGCACTCACCACTACGGTTTGAACCCAGGACCTTCTGCTTACAAGGCTAGCGAGCTCATAGACCATTGAGTCACTGGGACCCGATCCAATGGCCCATGAATCCCAACTCCTGACAATTCACGACATAGCGCGACCACTAGCCAATGTCTTCGGTGAGTACTTGCCGTCAAACCCAACCCTACTGGTCACAACTTCCCACTAGGACCTATCTGAATAGGGCCAGTCGCTAGTGAGCATCTCATTGATATTTAAGTATTGGTTTGTAGGAATTGAATTTTTTATGGTTGCGGATGCACAGTGAAACCTAGGCTAGGTTGGATTCATCACAGAATGATTATGAGTATGTAACACCAGGACATGATGTAATACACTATGGTATTATTCAGTGAAGTTAACTAGATAGTAACATCACATATTTTTATCAGCACTATAGACTTCATATCCATATAGTAAACCATAGCATTAACGATTCGTAATTTTATTGTTATAAAGAGTGTACAGATTAACCTATGCACCTGATATGAAATGAAATGAATGCAGACTTATACGGCCCTAGAAGTTAAAACATACCAGTAACTTTAAGATATATTCAAATTCCCTTGTAAACCCTTGAAAAATTATACAATATAAAAGGCTATGATCCATCCTAATGTTTCGAACCACTTAGACCACTGGTATAGTTGTACATGTAAGTATTCAGATTACGTATCGTAATTATACCATATTTTTTAAATATACCAGAGCAACGCAAACAGAGTTAACAGGACACCACCTTACTAATATCCGCAAACAACAAAAAAACGCTTACTTGACAGTTCAACGGTCTCCATCTGATCTTCTTCATTAGTTGCCTTATCTATATTAGACAAGATAAAGGAGCGATTAGTAGACAATACAATAAAAAGTTGATATTCGATCAAAACTAATTCAGTAGGAATTATGCAGACTGTGTCTCTCAAAAGATAAGCATATCCTGTCACTCATCAAAAATCAAATGATGGAGACCTTTAACATGTTTCGTGATTACTGATGTAAAACTGGAACTTGGAAATATCCTTAACTGTTCAGTAATTCAAATTTTATTCTGCAATCTCCTAACCAACTTTACTATTAACTACTTAGATGTGATTTTTGGCACAGAACACTAACAAACTGACTGTCTTCATTATACTTAACTGAATTATAATAGCATAGAATTTATAAAGCAAATGATTAACGCCATAAAAATGACTACGTTAAGTGGTGTAAATTACTCCTAACTCTAACAAGTATTAAAATTACCTTGTACAGGGCGACTTTGTTTCGATTTCTTTTTGTTCTTCCCACTGTTGGTAACCATTATGGTTTAAAATCCTGGGGAATGAATAAGTAGATCAACTATGAAGCACGATAATAAATTCTAAATATTCTTTAGCAAAACTGTATACATGACCATAACATAAGCAGACAGATATCAGCATAGCTTCAAATATGACTTTCAAAGGGAGTGAATTTCTGAAAGCTCTCATTTCATTTCAGCTTTTGTTATGTTATTCACATAAAAAACCTACAGATAAGCTATAATTTGAATTGTTGTAGTTGAAGTTAGTTTCTTTTATAAGTTTTGAGGTTAATTACTGATAGAGTGTTTTTGTAACATTTTGGTTTTTTAGTTTTTTGTAACTTTATGAAACTCGGGTGTTTTTTATATTTTTGGTCATCCATTTCTGAGTTACTTTCAATAGAAATACGTGTAATTTAGATCAATATGCCTGTAAAACAGAACCATTTTGGGAAACTTATGTCACTATCCAGTAAAGGATGATAAGCGGTTTGATAATTGTAATCGATGGTTCCAGAACATATTCAGCATACACGCGTTGCTGCCCATCCCACCTGCACACTGGTTGTACAATGACTGTTGCAGCTTAAAAGAACATTGTATACAGGAAGTCACTGTAATACATAATGGGGCGTTGAAGTTTCTGAAGTGCTACAGGGGGACACCAACCACTGTTCAGACGCCATTGTTGGTGTCACCGTCTCTGATAAGCCTATAAGTATCCCTGAAGAAACAGTACTAGGGGATATTAGTTTCAATGCACCCAGTGCCACCAAAAGGATTAGCAAACGTCACTACACTAGCCTCTGAATTTGTAGATCTAGCCTCACCCACGGCGCAAATGGATAGTAGGCAGTAACAATCAGTCAGAAGCTGAAGAGGGCACCAGTGAGTGGAGTAGTGCAGTCTTCCGCAGAAAGTGAGAAATAACCACTACAGAAGACATACTGTCCTTGAAGGATAAAAAGACACCGTCACCCCAAAGCAATAAAGCCAATCGAAGCAAACCTCTCTTTGACAAGTCATTCAAAGTGGAGGAATCTAAGGCTTCAGAGCCCAAAACCACGTTTGAACACGACCTCGACCTAGTCAAACCAATCTTAGATAAGTTACTCCCGACAACAGTAACAGACATAACCATTCACAGCTTACATAGAATCGACCAAAAGGTTGACTACACAGTATGTCATTCGCTGTGCCTTCTCGAAGTTATGGCTAACTCCAAAACTGAGATGGAGGCAGTTCCAAGGCACGGTCAAAATTTCGAAGGATCAGTGTCCGTGCTGATTTATACCTAGCAGAGTGCATCTAAAGACAGTCTGTCACTGGATTTAGGCAGACGGCAATAAAGAACCTCATTATAAAGGCTTTTGGGCAGTAAAATTTAGAAGTGTGGGTGGAATACAAAATCATCAAACTGAATTAACAGTTTGCTAAACTAGTGCTCACAAACTGTTGAATAAATTAACTGAGCTGGTTATGATGGTAAATTCTGAGAAACTGAATGTCATCGCCATTACGGAATAATGGCAAACATCCAAAATTAGCGACAGTGAATTTAACTTTCAAGACTTCACATGAAACAGGACAGATTAAACGGCAGAGGGAGTTGAGTATTAGTCTACCTGAAGAAATGACTAGCTTTGCTCAGCATTCAAGCACTTGCACAAGAAAGTGGTTCATGCAAACTCCTACGCTGCAGATCAAAATGCAATACATCGCAGTTCCGACTCCAATGCAGACAATTTTCCAACTGAGAAACTAGGATAATGGACATCCAAATATCGGAAACTTCAACGCCCTATCAGTTGACTGGACGAAACCTACAATACCATCCTCAGATATTTCTTCTGACTACAAACTGTTAGATTCTAATATTTCATTAGCCCTAGTACAACATGTCAAGAAGCCTACTCGTTATGACTCACAGCACTCCTTCTCAAATTCGGACCTAGTTTTCTCCCATTGTGAGGATATGAACATTACATACCACCTCCCACCCCTAGGAAGAAATGATCATGCTGTGATCACGTTCAAGTTAACAGCCTCCGTAGAATCCTGGGTGAAAACCCCGGATCGACTAAACGTCTGAAAAGCCAACATGAATGCCATTGTTCCAGGAGCAGAACCGACACCTAAATCCAAAGTCCCACATGGAAGCTACATGGAGCCAATTCAAGTAACTTCACGCCTAGGTAACCCAACCCTTCATTTATTTGTCTGTCCCGAGGGATCAAAAATACCCCCCCCCCATGGATAAACTGAGAAATTCGTGGACTACTTAGGAGTAAGCATAAATGTTCGGGTCATGTTTATCACACTTGGGACTTCGCCGACATCGACTAAAACATTATAATCAAACTCCTAAAGAAACTTGACCCAGGAAAAGCGATGGGACTCGATGATCTTCACCGAAGGCTTCTACAGGAGATGGCAGCTCATATAGCCGGCTCATTGACTGTGATCTTTAGGCTATCTTTTGAATAAGGTGGCACCCGCGAGTGGAAAGACACCGTAGTAACCCATGTCCAAAAGGAGGGTCCGGACACTGTCCTCTAAACTAAAGACCTACTAGTCTCATTAGCACCTTAAGTTATTGAGAAGAATTATCAAGAAAGCTATCATGGCCTCTCTGTTGTCTAGAGCACAGCATGGCTCCTGGAGAAACCTCTCATGCCTGAAAAGCCTCCTTACAGCAACAGGAACATTGGTCAAGTCAAAGAACAGCAAGAAACCCATCAACGTTATTCTCATCGACTTCACTAAAGCTTTTAACAGTGCCTTGCTCCCATTGTGTGTCACTGTTTACGAAACTGGGAAGATTTGGAATCAAGGAAGGCTTTCTCAAATCTTTGGATACAATTCTGATGATCAAAACTAGAAAACTGCATACAGGTTGCCAGTCCTCATCTTAAGGAAGCCTCAGATTCTCGAAAGAGTTCAAAAAGAGGCAAAATGTATGATTCTTGGTATGATTGATTTATTATTCGAGGAAGACTTAATAGTCTGAACGTCTTCTCCTTATCATACCGTACGCAGACAAATCTCATTACAAGACTCAAAATTCTAACAAATGACTGCGGATCTGATCTATTTCTTCCTTCCCTCTCTAACAGGTCAGAACATCTCAGATGACATGGCAGAAGAGTTCAAAAGCTAAGGACGGACTATATTGCTGTGGGGCACTGGTTCTCACACTATTGGAACCGACTCTCAAAAGAAGTATCGGTGCTCTTAATTGATTCGTTCAAGGGATTAGACAATAGCAGAAACTTAGTAGAAAAGGACTGATACAAGCTTCAAGCCTTCTATTCTCAATCAACAGATATGATATCTGAGTAGTGCAACTATATATTTCTGCCTGGGCTACACAGTGCAACAAAGTATAACACTGCCAAAATATGTCTGAGTACTTTTCCTGTAATTGGTCGGTGTTTTTAAAACATAGGTGGTGAAACTATACCTTCGAGTTATGTGATCTACCAAGTGAACTAGTCTATAACATATATTTTAAGCGCAAGTATACTGTTTTCTAAAAATCTTTCATTTTCCAGATACAAATCCAGGGGATTACTTCATCAAAAATTCTTAGTAAGTAACAACCTACATAAACGTGAACTCCCAAAACAAATTAAAATAGTTATCGCAACAATACTAATTAGTAATCATAATCAAATCTGCTAATTTCCTCCATGCACAGCCGAAAACAGACCAACAGATACATGAAAATTATGAATGAGGCTAAGTAAGTCAATATGGCAACATGAGTCAATGGGAGGAACCGCAAGCAGTTAAACGACGAATTCAGCATTAATTTTAAACAGAAAACTAGTCCTCGACATGACGTCCACATTTTTATAGAAAAATCTATAAATACTAAAAAGCGAGCGACATAGACTTTGAAACATTAAACAAATTACAACCAACGTGTAGCTTGAAAACTAAAAACCAAACCGACAACAACACATTACAAAGGCTGTCACTTCGATACCGTACCACTCAAGTTTAAATGTCTACTTTGAATACAATAATCAACAGGAACTTAAGTTTCGCGTTTCCAGTCTATGACGATAAATTATATCCCTTTCCTCAATTTCGTTTATTAATATCCCTTTTCCGCAGGTCTTTTTCTCAGATGGATAGACAGAAAATGAACTCTACTCCATAACATTATGCAATGTAGGGTCTGGCGAAATGTGTAGTCTCATTTCAAAGTATTGAATTAATAGTTCTTCGGATCTTTCACCTTTGGCATTAATACTTTTATCCCCTTAAAATAGTGCTCGGACGAGATTTTTTGAAATCTTTCGAGAAATTTGAAGGACCTAAAGTTAAGTTCGTATAATCGGATCTGCTCATTCCAAGTCAGAACCAAGCCTTCTTGAAGAGATTAATGTGATAAAATCATCCCTATTTCCTTAGGAATGTGAGACCATGACGTCAATTACCGCAAATGTTATGCCCAACTATGCCACAAATGCCTATCGGTAATTCAAATATGAGTGTTAACAAACCACAAAATCAGTATTATTGCCTCCGTTTATTTGAGCATATAGTAAAATCCACTTTTTATTCACGTCTTTGTTTGATTCGTTACCCTCTGAAAGCATATCAACGGATGAAAATTGGAATTCCAGTTCACTTGAACCCATGAAGTAAGTTGAGTTTTGAGCATTATACATCAGAAATCAGTTTATTCTGAACATATCTCAGACTTCATCAATCTGAGAGGATTAACAAGTTTAGGCGCTGAAATAAATCAGACTTAGACTTCATTTCTCGTAGACTAACATCTTGATCTTGTTTTGACTCTCATCAGTTTATCTTCCCTACAAATTTCAGTTATGAAACATGAAAAGTGTCTGTTAACTCAGACTCCCTTTATGAAACCCTTTGAATTAATTTCCAGGTAATCTGATCATGTGTTAATAAGTTATCTAACAAAAACGGTAGACAACGACCTTATCATCACTTCACATTGGATGTTGGCCTTCACTACTTAAGTGAACTAGTTTTGCTGGTAGAATAACGTCCTCACACGCACCATTCGGCAAGCTGTCGCATTGTTTGCATGATAAGTGTTATTATTCCAAGATATAGAAGCAAACATGTTGCCTTAAAAACACAGACCATAAGAAACTTTTTGGGTTTTGAGCAATCCGAATATTTTTCATTTGCCATCATGTTCCTAGCCAATGTGAAATCAGCATATTTGTGTTATACGTAATATTTCCGCTTACAGCACCCGAAAGCACTTTGGCTGTTCTGGCACATCAATGAAGATGGACATTTATCAAAAGAAAAATGATCATTCGACGTTGGTGGTCACTTGTTATCAAGAAACAAAATAAAACGTAGTTGTTTTAGTTTATATCTAAGATGACAGTATTTTGTATCTCTAACTGTTTGTGGAGACTGGAGACGTATTGGTTGCTAACTCTTTGAATTTATCAGAGAATTCGGTAAGGGCCACTGTAATTCATAAATGATCTTAGTTACGCGAACTTCTGTTGAAGCAGCGAGCGATTACTGTCACACATCAATCATCGTTTTTGTTCTCCTTTGTCAGAGGCACTGCATATGTGGTGGATGATTTTATGATTTGGGATAGAACGAGTTACTTCGTAGGTCAAGCCCGTATCTAAAAGTCCAGATTCTTCGCATGTCAGACTCTATGGACCACTGAGCTATCTGTTCGGTCGTACTGTATCTCCGAGTGACAGAACCTAATAAAATTTGCGACCTTGTAAAATACGTCATAACTGTGAAAAGATGCGACGATTTTCGACTTTGTATTTAGCCCCAAGTTCTATATTTCTTAGTACTTTCAAAGAATATCATGTATATTAGAACATCTTAAATTTAAATGAAATGGCAGAATGGCAACATTTCAAATCTGCACAACTGAACTAACGCCGTACCTGAATCACTGAGCTACCTAACTTTCCGTTTGACACAATCCATAAAGTTTTCTTTACTTCCTATCGCTTCAAGCACTCTTATACGATTTGAGTCGTAAAATGTACTTAAGCGTATTATTAATTGACTTTCAAACCAGCGATGCACATTCCACGGGGACGACGGAAAAATATGTTTCGTGATATGAATGTGATGTGAATCTGAGTTCCGTTGTCACCTCATGGAACAACCCTTATAGGCTCCGAATTTCGGATACCGAATCGATTGAACCTCAACCGACTCACTATCAACGGCCAACTTTTTATCTGTGTGCAATGAAACATATTGTGTTCCATGAGATTTCAGGGGATAATAGCTTAGCAGCGGCGTGGTGGTGTGACCACGTATCTCGATAATTTATTCCTGTCATCGCTAATAAATATACCTTTGAGCAGTCATGAGTTATATTTTCCCCTCACCAATCAGGGTGTTATTAAGAACAGTCTGGCCACCACGTTGGGTGGGCCAGACTGAAGATTCAGCAGGCGGTGTGGCTAATCCTCAGGTCACCAATTGTTCCACTACCCATTTAACTCTACTAAATAGACTGTAACTTAGTTGCTGTAACAATAACTACTTCTATACTTTATAAATTTCTAAGGGAAGCTTAATTTCCTAGTCTTTTGTAATAACTACTTATACACATGTATGCATGTGTGAAGATAATACTGCCAAAATTTCCTCCAATATCGATGTATCTGAAGACCAGATGGGGAGCACTTGTCGTGAAGGCTATTGACGTGTGTGATTGGGATGGGACCAATGCAGCGCAATGCTGCAAATGCAGTTGTTGCTAAAAAATCTCAGAGCTTAACATCAGAAAGGGAGGGAGGCTGGTGCGTGCTGATCAGCAGATATGGTAATGGTCACAAATGTGAACCGATCCAATCAGTAGGACAGCAATATGCATTTTTTGACAACGCGAGAATTATACATTAGTCTGGACCCTCAACAAAAAAATAATAAGGGTTGTGCAGATCTAAATTATAAGAAAGTGCCCTTGCTCCTACCATCTACAAGCCTGTTCAGCTTATGGTCAAGATGCTACCCGTTGGTCCCCACAGAAATTCGTGAGGCATCTTATAGGTCAGCTTGTCTCACACGTTTTTTTCTAGATCTTTGAATTCACTCCTCACTTAAATATCACTAACCTACCTCACAATAATCTTTTTATTTGCGCATTATTACTCTACTTTATGTTAACTTTCAGGCCATTTTTAAAGCTAAAACTTTCTCTTTGCTCATATTTGTTGCTTGCCTAAATTCTGGTTGCTCTGACTAAAAAAGACAGCACCAATGTTTGAACAAAGCTATATCTTCATCGAAGACATCATAGTTTCCATGCTTAGACCAATATGGTTGGCATTGCGCATTGCAAATGTATACTATCATTTCAGGTACTATATGGCTTTTTCTTATTTTATTTAACTTGTAAATATACTTCCAATAATGTATTATTCAGAATTGCATTTTTTCATTTTGCAGCTGCGCAGGACTTTTTTCTCTTCCTGAAATAACGTTCAATGACGTGGAGGCAGTCACACAGTGACACTCACTCTGTACCAGAGAAATAGCAAAAAGGTGCCAGTCAATAGACCGGCTTTCTGCGATGCTAACACCATGAAATACGCTGACTGAACATCATCGTGTCCCTTTGATTCCCCTATGTCTAGATAGATTTGCGATAAGAATAAGGCAATCTGTGTCAGTGTCGTCAGCTCTTATCCCATTCTCTTCTGAAACTAGTGCTGGTACTATGCTGTCTAGTGACTCTTATGTGAAGATTTCAAAGAAGTAGTTCTTCAAAGACTCACCGTTTTCACAATCTGCCTGTTAATCGCGACAGATAGATAGACTATATGATAGACAGCTAATCAATATGATGTGACCTTCTTGTCGCGATTATTAGTCAATTTATTGTAACTCTCACCACGTGATGTGACCTTGAATGTTCTTTGTTGTCTGTCACTCTATTTGTGTGTACATGTAATTAATTGACTGTTCATTTTGTCCGTACCCTCAATACTGTTCGGTACGTTTTTGTCCTTTTTTGAATGACAGTGGATTTGTACATTTTTCTTGGTGTAATTGTATAATTTATTTTGATGCTTTAGAAACAGATAAAGTTTAAGTCCAGTCATCCTGTTTCAACTATAGCTTAGCCCAGACTCTGTGTCGTCAGTATCGAGGAAGGACTAAATCTGTAGGACAAAAATAATCCTACACTGCCTATATTGTGTATATGTCATGTTCCAGTGGTACACAGAAGAAAATAACTTGCTATATTGTTCTATTTTTAATTCCATCTTTCACTGGTGGAATCCTGTGGTAGCTCTTTTATGACAGCATTTCACATATTCCTTGCTCCTAATCCTCAGAAAGTGATAAACACTCCCTACCACTTCGGTTCGCACCTAAACTATCCATTAACTCGCTGGTTTATTCACAGGGGAAGACAATGTTTTCATCTGTTGAGGACAGTTCATTGGTTGAATGATAGAGGTGTCTCGCAGCATAGTTGTCTGTAGTGACTCCAGACAGCTTCTCTAGGGAGAGTTCACTCATATGATGGGGCTTTTTAGATAACGACCCTTAAACCATATAATCGAAAGTTTTTGTGAGTTTAAGATCGGGATGCCAGAAAAGTTCTGAAATTATTGTTGGGCACAGAATGTTCATTTTCCATTAGGGTTCTAGAATGTAGCAGTAAGTTCCAAAATTCATCGTGGGAGAAAACTGAATAGAAATCTGAAGAAGGGTAGCCGGAGTCATTAAATACTGTTTTCATCACTGTCTTGGACTGTAGCTTCAGGCAAACAAGATTTTCAGGGGACTGCCGTGAGCTCGATAAATGTTTGATATATCGAGATAAAAATCGACGCTCATGAAAGGATATGGAGCCAATATATTTTAAAAAGACAGACAAAGAGTGATAAAAGTCAATGGTTACTTGAAAATACAGTTAAAGTCCATTGATACGAATTAATAATATAATCCACAGATCCGTTTCACTGCTAGAGTCGTGCCCACTGGTAGAAGTTGCTTACTGGTTG